TGGCCCACCGTCCCCYAGCTGTGTTTCAGAATGGGCAAATTGGGTGCCAAAACCTAGAAGGTGATTTCAGATGTGAAACCTGTTCCCAGGGAGCCCAGGGCCCCATGARATGGGATGTGTATGATGACATCTTCAGCATTTCCCACTGAACAGCCTTGGTGGGTATCAGGCTGGAGGGGAAGATACCTCAGACCCCACCCTAAGTTTTTAACTGTCCTTAACAGACAGAATTCTGTTCTCCCTGGGGAGAATACGGTGCTCTGGCTTCAGACACATGAAAGCCAGGCCTTGTAACAGAGCCACTCGAAATGCCAGAGACAGCAGGGGCATCAATGGGGTGGATCAAAGGGAAGTGGTGTTACTGCACAGAGGTGGAACAGCACCAGACACACTGATGGATCTGCTGGGATGTGRGCACWTTAATGTCACGGGGAGACCAGCATTTGCCTGCCWGTTCTAGCCCCAGCCTGAGCCTGTGCTACTCTCTTATGCCCACAGAGAATCATATCTGTACATGATCCCTCAAATCATGAACAGATCTTGAATGCTAATGGTTCTGTTTTGACCACAGGAATCTGAGGAGAATTCTGGCATGTTAGCTTATTCAGCCTGAATTCTTGGCTTTGTTTCTTTTGCTGTAATTATCTTTTTTATCAGCTGTCAAAAAACAAAGCATCAAAGCAGCTCTAATTAGAGTAAATTCTCAATCACATAAGAGACAGCTACGACCACAGTTACAGAGGGCATTTAAATATTGCTTCATATAATGTCTATAAGGAATGTTGGGCTACTTCTGCTTGTGAGGGCTAAGAAGATACATTGAGGAAATTACATAAAAAWGTAATGGACATGAGTTTGAGGGGAGCTAGCCACAATATTTCATGTGTTTTTTGCCATTTACTGTGTTTCAAAATTATTTTGATTCCCAAAAAGAAGATTTTAAAYAGCTACAGATAATGAAGGGAAGCTCTGTGATCAGATCTATCGGTACAGATAATTCCTCCTTGCCAAACCCCATCTGAAAGGGAACTTAATAATATTAGGACATAGAAGTGTTTGCTATAAATTACAGCTAAGTGAAAGTGAAAAAAGAGAGCCAACCAGATTTTTTTCTGTATGTTAACATTTTCAGGTACCAAAATAACAACCTTCTCACACTGATTCAGGATGAACTGTAAGTACTATTTTTGAACAGCTTTGGATTTTCTTAGTAAACTGTTCTTCCAGTACTRCTTGCAGTATAATTATTGCCTATGCAGCAATAACAGAAATAAGAATGTTTTATGCAATGTCTTTTTTTCCTCTGGGGACAATGTGAAATGGCACTCAGAATGGTACCAAACTGTAATGTACTTACAGGGAAAACACCCCACACAGTAATCAAGTGTGGAGATTAGAGAGAAAACCGCCCCACCCCAAAGCCTTATTGGAATTTATGTAAAACTACCTGGAATGTATCAGACCTATAAATAAACTTCAAGAAAAAGGGTTTAAACCATTGTAACTAAATAAAAGCGCCAGTAGATGGCATGAGAGACCTTGAGATTGGACACAAAGCTCGGATGGCCACTAATAGCTATTCCTGCAACCTTCTGAGCTGTCTCTGGTTTTAGCCCTCACTAAAGTATTTGCTAGATTCCTGAGGTTTCTTATTCATCAGGTGCACTTAGATCCACACAGTACATTTATTTTTAGGGACAACTGAAGCTCATTTAATAACTCATTCAAACATGCTGAGTAAAAGCCTAGCTCTGTCGAGTTTAACCATTGGCTTCAGTGGGGTTAGAATTGTAGATGTTATTTTTTTTTTTAATGCTCATGCTGCGGAGCCGGCATTTCATTTCCAGGAGGGGTCTGGTATTAGTGTTTTTTTTTACTTTCCTATCACAGTGTAGCTCCTTTCTCTGGAGCAGAATGATCCTGAGAGTCACYGTGTCATTTAAAATTAGTGAATCAAAAGAGCCAGGTCTGATGCACAAAAGGTTTGTTTTCTTTGTCTAGGATACAAAAGTCKTCTCTCCAATAGCCTTTTGCCTATCTATCTGTAATAGCACCATCCAATTCCAGGCTYTTATGAATAATCCACTAAGGTTTAACCAAAGCTGACCGTGAACAAATTAAGTATATTGTTTTGATTTTTTCCAAATGTATAGTTATTTTACAGATGGATGAATCTGAAAATGAAAACCTTCAACTTAGCAATAAAATATACTCATGTGGTTATGAGATCTGGTGGAAAAATTTACTTTTCATTTCCAGAATCACTGAAGAACTTGCAAAAGACATATGGGACTATAAATTCATAAGCATTTCTGACTCCATCAAGTAGGTAAGTAGTCATATCTTTCTGATGCAGAAAATGAGACACAGAAGTCCCCAGCCTCRTGCAAAACCACATTACAGAGCTGCAAGGGCAGGATTAGGACTCAAGCCTGTCTTATGCTTAGGTCTGCATCTTTTTTTCTGACACTTTCAATTATGGTACTCTAGTATTTTTTTTAAAGATTATATTACTTAGTTACTGCACTAAAGTCCAGAATTCATTAATACATATCACTGAGAAGCACTAAGAATGAAAAGTAGAATGCATAAAAGCTCAGCCTRTGTAGTACACATTTTAGTACTCAGTTGGGTACATAGCTTTGGTTTGCTTTGCTTTATRAGATAGGACAGGCATGATTTCCAAATGAGGTTTAAATCTGGACTGCAGATATTCTCCCAGATGGGTTGGAAATGCCTGTGTGGTGCATTAGAAATTCCAGAAGGGCTTTTTCACACTTGTACTGTTAATGTTCTTAATTCCTTTGGCAAAACGAGCTGGTTCTAAGTCTTTTGCTTTGCTGTGCACACTGCCAACCTTACGAACATTCATTATTACATTGTGATTTTACAGCTGCAGCGAAGCCTTTCAGTCAGTCAAAGGCATTCAGCTGTCTCAGCAAGAGGGCACTAACGAACAGGAGCTGGACAGAAAGGAAAGCTGCCCCTTGGAAATGGAAATAATGAGAGCTGTGTCCCGCCCGTGCCCTGTGCAGACCAGAGAAAACTCAGTGCCTGGGCTTTACCAGGGGCTGCTTTCCCCTGGCTGAGCCTCCACCCCAGCCCAGCTGCACTGGGGTGATGGTGAGTGAATTCCCTGCCCTGTGAGCACAATTTCTTCTCTTTTTAACAGTTCTTTGCTGTTACTAAATTCCTGTTCTGGTAGCTGAGCATGAAACTTCATTTTTCTTCTCTCCCTACTACCTTTGTCTTATCTGAAGTGGTTGACTGACAAAAAAAGTTTCTCTTTTGTAAACAAACGGATTAAAGAGAAAGGTGTTGGATTAACGATGACAGTCTGATCCTATGAAAGCCAATGTCAAATCTCCAATAAGCCACAGTGAAAACAATACGAGGAAGAAAAGAGGCCTCCAGGTGTAAGACTAGTGTGGTTTTAAAGGGAAGTGGAGTGCAATATTCTTCATCTCCCCTCTTGTTTCTCCCCTCTTGTTTCTCCCCTCTGTTTTTCAGTCTAGCACTTCTGATGATTGGTAAAGCACAGCTTTTGTACAGGGAATTTGTGAATGCTTTATTACGAATTGAAATACAGGACAAGAATTTGTGACTGGTCTTAGTTTGAAGATGCATATATGAAAAAAAGCTGTGGAATAGAGCACTGACTATTTGCATATATTCTTAAATGTAGTATATAGACTAAATTAAGGCTGGGGGAAGAGAAGGAGGCTGGTAACTGCCTTTTGCCCTCTGTAGGTTACCTCAGGAGAGAGGCTTGGGGCAGAGGCAAATGCCCTTGCCCCAGGGTAAGCACCAGGCATCTGGTTAGAACAGACTTGCAATGGCTTCCTTCTGCAAGTAATGGCTGTACATGGAGAAAAACTGGGCCTTTTCTGACTTGAAATTGGTGGCAAGCTGCAACTCAAGAGAGAGTAAAAGGAGCAGCACACACTACTCATGTTTCTGCTCTTGAAAGAAAAGCATAGTGAAATGCTATGCTGTAATTGTTCAACTATTTAGTCTTCAATCATCTTTCTGATAGATCAGTTTTTAGTTAGACAGAAAAGTATTTTCTTTAATGACAGTTTCCTGCCAGGGTTTGGGTTGAGCAGTACCTTGCCCACGCTAAGGCTTCTCTTGGAAGAGCTGGCTGCTGTTGCTGGTTATGGAAAACACAAAATGGTTCAGTGCAGGGCTGATTTGTGACACAGGGCACAGAAATATTGTGCCACTGCCTGGGCTTTGAAGGTGCCACCTATTCCTGGTCCCCTGGGGTGGCAGGGAATTACCTTTCTGCACAGTGAAAGCTGGCAGATTGACTCTTCACTGGTTAAACACMGTCTGACTGTCCTGCTTGTATTTTATTTGAGCTTTATGATGCTATTGATCTTACATATTTTTCTATATATTGCTTTTCAGAGTATTTGGAATGCTACTTGATGTATTATTGTTCCCTGAAGTTTTTGAAGCCATCATTTTCATAAATATACAATAGGAGATGGTAAAGCAAAAAAGAAGTTCTTATTCACACTTTTAGTTCGTTCATGAAGCAACAGCACATCCATTGAAATTTAAATGAAAATGGGGACTGTGTCACACACTATAGCTCTCTGGAAAGCTACAGTGGGAGTCTAGCAGTCCAATTCATTCCTTTGTAGAATGTACTAAGGCTAATGGTCTTGCTGGGAGTAAAATATATTTTTTTGCAGAACGATTCCAGGAACAGACGTTGCTCTTTACCAGAAAACATAAAAGAAAACAAATGCTTACTGTGTCTTTAGTATGCTAAATATGAAATTCTTTGCACAATGGAATGTTAGCAGTAGCCGTAATCATGTTTTCCTTTCATCACCTAGTGAACATAATTTTGAGAGAGGACTGCTGTAATTATATTGCAGATAAAAGGGAGCAGAATTTCTGTATAATATTATAGTTGGCCTGATTGTTTTGTTGATAGGGAAAAATAAAGAGAGACCACATGAATACTTATTTAATGAACATATTTATTAAGCAGTGCAGACTGTACATAAGGCATTTGACTTTGCAGTTGGCTTGTTTTCTTCAAGCACCTTTCTTAATATTTTACTACAGCTATTATGTTCCCTTCTTATCTGTCCAGCTGTTCAATTATTTGTGTAGGATGCCTATAGCACAACGCCAGAGCATTTAGCTTAACTACAGCCGCCAGTGCAGGTACAATCAATGTCAGCATCCACAGACTCCACAACATCTTCCAATGCAGATTTCTTATCRCTACTTTTCTGCCATTCCACCAGGCTTACAGCAGTTTCTGTCAGGAGAGTGAAGCCATTGTTAACTAACATCAAGCAAATTAACACATTTCAAAGAAATACTGTTTTGATGGCTGTCAACTCCCCCATCAAGTAAAGAATGAAATCCTGCCCTCGCGACTGACATCTAACTGACTCATTGACTTGGAACAGGATTTTCATCCATGATATAATTACTGTAATACTTCCCTAAAMCCAAAATGAATTACATTTCATGAAGCACAAAGACAACAGGAGGCTGTGCAAGTGCTGGAGGTAGCCCCTGTCARTGCAAGACCACCATATACTAATCCACATCGGCAATCTCTTTTTATGTTAGTGCTGCATATCACTGGGATTTCAGCTGACTATTTGCCGAAGTTCATTCTGAAGGCTAAGCCCTTTGGAGAATTTTCAGAGGTTCATAAACTTCTAATTAAAGTTTCCCATATATTGTGAAATCTGGCAGAGCATTGCCAGTTGCAGTATTAACCTTACCACACTGCTTTATCAACAGCAGCTTGAATAAGCCATATCCCTTAATGCTGAAATAATCTAAATGGAATAATGATATTCATCCTCCCAATAAATATTCCGAGCTAGTTGGAGGTTTATCATTGCATCTGGAAGAATATTAGGACATCCATTTAGATTAAGTTTGTATAATGAGAATGCGTAAAGCTTTCATAATTTTGCTTCCATTTGTTTTATCCTCAGTTGGACAGTACATTTATAATGTGCCATCTCTCCTCATAGGGAAATATGGATATGGCTGTATGAGTTCAGGTTTTATCAGTCACTTATCTTCTGAAAGGTTAACACTCTCCTTGGCTAAATTACTCCCCAACATTAACCACAGGTTTTGCATAATAAACTGGATAATAAATATTTCCCAGAAAGATGCTGGAGATGCTTTTAAAAGTATATATTTTGTTTCCAGGCTATGAAATGAGAAATGCTATAAAATGTCTGAATTCTGTTTTTTTATATATGTTATGTCTCTTACTCTTGGGCACAGTGTGGGTCTGAGCACATTCATATCCATGGAGGAAATAGTTTCCTTGGCAAACTGGATCATGGCTGAGTAACTGTGATCCCCATGGGGTGGTCTTGTGGCATGTTTGATATATAAACCAATATGTGGACTTAAACTTGTGGTGGTGCCTGCCCCAGTCAGGTTCCTAAGGCTACAGTCTTGTTGATTTGAGGACAACAGGAGAAATTCTGCATTTTTGTACTTCATTTTATCCTTGCTCCACTRGTGAAAGTGGTGGGGTCCTTCTATTTTGAAACAGTAAACTGTCATGACTGAGTTCTCATATAAAGAGTTGAGAAAAGGTCTTTGTCCAGTGTATGAATGTTCCTAGATTGAGACAAGTAAGGATTTCTACTTCTACTGCTTCTCCAATGCATCAAAGAAAGAAAAAGAATAGTTTTTAAGTGCTGGCCTTGTATTCCTATTGATCCTTAGCCTGAGGAAAAGCAATCAATTTAGCAAGTTAAAGAACAATAAATGGCACCTTTTTTCTTCCTTCTCCCTCTCCACCTCCTTTCCCCCCCTCTTCCTCAGGATAAATAAAAAAATAAATAAATAAGTCCTTGATTAGAAGTGTTGCTAGCAGACTTCCTGGCCTCTGCTTCAGTAAATGAATGGGAGAAGCCTGCCTTTGCTCTAAAAGCAGCACTGGCTGCAACAACTAACATATCTTCTTTTCTGATTTTCCTCTTTTGTCAAACAGTTTTGTGAGAGATTGAGACAGCTTTATTATAGCCTAATATTCTGAGGCAGTGTGTGGTCTGGGGTTACAACACTTCAGAGATACAGATTTGGATGCACAATAGAAATCTGTGAAACATGAATATAACAAGATTTTGGAAGGTTTTGTGTTGAGGGTGGGTTTTTCTATTCATGAAAGGATGCATCTATTCTCATCTTGGGGAGCCATCAGAAAACTATTAACACTCTCTCTGTGCTACTTGTGCCTGTTGAACAGGCTGTTGCAGATAGTTTAATATTATAGAGAGATCCTCTCTGCTTTTCTGGGCTGATTCAGCACGTTGCAGATATTAATAACATAAGCAAAGTCCAAAGTTGTACACAGATGTTGTTTAAATTCAGATATAAAATACCTTGTCCTCTCCAGTACTACTCAACACAGGGGGGCATTGGCTCCAGTGAAACTACACTGGATTTTCCCAGCTAATAATGGGTTTGGCCAACAATGGTTAACAAAGAAAAAAAACAYTACAGTAGACACTTCCTAGTGGCAGATTTCCCTCTAAGCTCTATAGGTAATTAATGATGAGATTTAGGAAAGAATGCACTAGAAATATCTATAGGTTCRAGGCTGGAATCTCCTTTCATGATTATGTAACTTCAGTGTGAGCCTGTGTTAGACAGTTCCTCACACCCTGATATAAATGTAAGGAGGAAAAGGCCCGTGTCCTTTTWAATTATTTTTTTGTTTGCTGTTTTTAAATTCTGGGACTTGAGTATGTGTACATAAAATACCTTAAAAAAACCCCCATTTTTTGGAACAACCTAGAGAACCTTCCAGCAATGTGTTTTTGCTGATGTATTGCACAGTGGCATGGCACGGCAGTCTAATCACAGCAGTCATGTCACACTACCTGACTGACTTTCAATTGCCTTGCTTGCCCTGGTCTCCACAAAATTGCAGGCTGTAATGTGCATAAAAGGACTCAGCGTTGCTTATCTCAACTTTATGGAGATCCTGAAGACATGACAAATTTTATTTTGTGATTTTATTGATCGCTGCTGCCCCTTTTACCACCTCCAATGTTTTTCTCAGATGATGCTACCTGCCATCCCTTAAACTAGCTTTTAGCTGGCCGGCGCTGTCAGCAGTTCTAGCAGGTACTAATGGGATTAAAAACAGCAGCTCAGAGAGGAGCCGGGGCCGTGCAGGTCTGAGCATGGCTGTGCTGTGTTTTGTTCTTTCGAGTGCTCTGACAGCTCCTGCAGTACGTGACACACAGAGGGAGAAAAATACAGTACCTTTTGGGAAGCAGTGGAAGCCAACCTTTACTGAAGCTTTTTCGATTGGAGTACAGTCTTTCATGCATTTCAGTACTGGGTCAACAGAGTAGCACGTAGATTCCTCGCCATCAATAGTAGGATTTCGATTCAGCTTCACATAACTGCGCTGCAGCTTGCACCCTAAGAGGAAAAGGAAAGGTAGTTAAAATTGTAGAAATAAATCCCAATCGGTCCTCGCAATAATAAAGGTCCATATTTTCTCTTCAGCTTTTATTAAAACACAGGTATCTGACAAACCATTTTCACAGCAGTGAGGTTGTCAAGATAGGACAATGATAAGTTGAGGGAAGAGTCTGAAAGGGGAGCTGTTTTTAAAATTTAATTGCACAATATAACCCAAATGGAATCATGTATACTCAGTTTTTTTGGAACTACATAATACACAGAAAATAACCTCTTATGTCTGAAAGCTATTAAGAATAGATACTGCAAGCACAATGGCTACTTCATTGCATTAGGAAAAATGTCAACCATCGTGAATGGATAAAAAAAAAAAGGCAGCATTTATATAATAACATCAAGGATAATTTTTGTATTGGATGATTTTTATAATGCTGCAATTATCTCACTAGAAAGGTATAATGTAACTTAACAGGATCCCAGCTACGACTGTGCTTCCTGACACACAGATAAGTACAATTCTGCTGCCACTGAAGTCAAGGAGAAAGCGACCATTAACTTCAATAAAATTATCTCAGGTCCAAGGTAAATGGAGGCTTACCAAACAAAACTGTATTGATGTTATAGGAATCAAATATCATTATTCCAGCTACACGTGAGATGAAGGTCYTTAATGGAGGAGTAGTTCTAAATATTTTCTTAAGATTGCACCCCCATAAGGTGCAGAACAAAAATGAATTTTTTTTCTGCTTTGGAAACTTACATTAATGTAGGATCTGACACTGCATTCATAGTCTGTAACTTGTGTGGTTAAATTAAGTCCGCAGACAACAGCTGAATTTGTGTTGATACAATGGTGAAAATCACACTTTTTTTTCAGTGAGAGCAAGATTAGGCCTGATTTTGMCTCTTAAGAAAAAAGCTACTCAGTGTAAGAAATTAGAATCAATCATTCAACATTGAATTGCACATGAGACAAAGAATTTTGCTGGAGTACATACTCTCTATATTCACAAGCAGTTTTAAACAGTCAGTAGTTAATAAAATTAAAATGGATATATATTGCTATCGAAATTTCTAAGCAAAAGGTACCTTCTGCTTTAAAAAAAAAATTATTTTCTAGCTGTTAGCTGTGGAAAAGTGAAATCATATTCTTTCCAAGCATAAAGCATTTCCAGATCCACTCACCACCAGAGCAGGTTTCTTCCAGCGATACCCATGAATGCACAAATGCAGAGCAGCTGTGTGCCAGCCTATGGTTTGGCATGAGGAGTTCGTTGTCCTTTTCTCTGTCATTATTACCACAAACCCCRCAGGTCTTTCCTCTCATCCATGAAGCAACAGTGACCTGCAAAACAGCACACTTTTGTAGAGAATACTGAATGTTGGTCTTTCACACTGGCAAGGCACCAGACAGAAAGAAAGGAGTATCCTTGAAAGCAAGAGCAGTACCTTAAGATTCACACCATCAAAAGTCACCTCCTTCAGTCCGAGTTCTGGAACTTCCACGGTAACRGTTGCTCCATTTTTATAAATTTTAACATTGTCTGTAAAAGGATGGTGAATCATACAGTGATCATCTTAAATTAATGGAGAAACCATATAGCAATGCTAATGCTATACACATTACTGCAATACTGCAATACTAAACACAACCCACCACAATGCATTTTTCTTCACAATGATAATTTTGCTGCTACAGTTGTATATATATCTATTTAAGTGGAGAGGAAAAATAAAAATAGAGGAAATAATTTACTTTCAAAAATATTCTACTGCTGTTACTTATGGTTGGGACTAACTTCTGTATCCAGTGTGGTAAAGTTTGAAACAATAATGATAGTGGTGGTGCTCCAGCTAAATGTCTGAACCAAAGCATCTCTCTGTGACTATAACATGAACTTTTTCCTGAACAATCACCAACCTGGGTATATGATAAGAAAGGGCTTTATTCACCTGTCAGTTATGCTGGAGGAAAATAAGAGTGTATACACTATAGGAAACATGAATATAAGTGAAGAAAAATCTTAAGAAATTAGTCTCTAGATTTTCTTTGCATTAATTCCAATTGTGTTTTCTTTATGCTGAGATATTTCAGTGGAATTTATAAAAACTTGATATTTAGTTCCCAGGTCAGTCCTGGAAAAYTGAATATCACAGCTTGCCTTTTGCATACGCAGAACCTCCACTGTGTGATAGAACTTGTTCTTCATTGCATGCCACAAGGAGGGAMGAATTTGAGGCAGGACAGATTGTGATGTTCCTTCAGAAAAAATGAAAATCAAAGAGACTAAGTTAGTGATTAATTTAAAATAGGAAAACTACAGATATTTGTGACTATCTGTATTTTGAATGAATGGTTTTCTTTCCAAAGTGCAAAATTCATTGGGACTTTGGGCTTTAATAATYACCCTTTTAAAAAAAGACATCATGGGGATTTAATGAGCAAGTTATCAGATATTGGTGGAATTCAAAACAAGAGCAACTACACCAAAGAGTCTCAGGTGAGGATCCCTTCTGGAAATTCTGTCTTTCCCCAAATGTCTGATTGAAAACCAATTTAACCTAGGAACTAGACATCTCCCAGTCCCAGACTAACTTCTTCAAGTTTTATACCTAATTCTGAGCCCTCTATAAACCACACTTACGCTAATGTTGTATTAATGTGAACCTCTCTTGAGAAAGACTGAGGATCAACCTTTCTTGTAGAAATGATGAATTTTGGGTGTTCGGTACAGTCTTGAACCACTACCAGGTTGCAGCTTTTATTGAAAGAATAYGAATGGCTCACACCATCAAATGTTTTGAAATCTCTCTCCCTGATTTCACAAGTGGCTGCAAAACAAAACCAGAAAAGAAATGGCAGATATGACCCCTGTATGTGTTGCTGTGAGATATTGAAAGACGCCCCTGTGGGTTTGAACTACCCAGCAAACAAGAGAAAAACTTCATCACCTCCTTGGCAGAAGCCAGAGTCTGTAAGGGCAGGAGAACACCACAAAATAAATACCTTGTATAGACTATACCAGTATTGATTTTGATTATGTGCCAAACACAAAACTCAAGCTAACAGGGACTAAAATGAACAAAATTCTTGGGAAACTGGAAGCAGTAACAAACTGTGATAAAAACTCCCCATTTCCCACAGGCATGCTAAGCACCAAACCRGGTAAGACTCACATGGTTCCTCTTTCAATAAAATAAACAGGGCAGAAAATACATGGGCTCTCTTGTACCCACATCTGATGCCTCTCGATGCAGAGTTGGCATCTTCWAAGGAGGGGCAAAAGGCAACCTCTAGTCCTTGAAGACAGGAGTGATTCCCAAACTTTGAATGCTTACAGCAGTTTGAAATCTCTTCATTCACCTGCCAACAAACCTGCTTCTCCATGAGGGAATGAACTTTTGAAAGCAGGGCTGAAGATGCTACGCTCCCCTGTAAGAGCATTACAAGGAAAGGCAAGGCAYAGTATGGATCTGCACACATTGCTTATTCATGAGACAAACATATAAGTAACATTTACATTGATCTTCTTGTGCTATCTGTGAAGCTATTTTGGGGAGTAAATTCCAGGCAGTGATATCTTGAGTCTCGTAAGCTGGAGATGGGCCTAAGGGCAGAGTGAATGGCAATCGCAATGCCTGGCAATAAAGTGTTACCTGAAAAAGCAGAAATGAAAATACATTAAGATAAATTGAACCATATGCTCCAGATATGACTGCAAACAAACCACCACTCTTGGAAAGAAAAAAAAATAAATCTTGATTCATCTCTACAGCTGCAGTTATGTCAGTGCAGGRTGCACCCAAACCTTGTCATCTCTTCTAGTCATACTTCTTGACTTTTTGAGAAATTGTTCAGAACATTGAAAAGTAACTGATAGAGATGAGTTTAAGTGATGATTGAGTGACTTCTTAAAAAACAAGGTAACAAGTCGAGTAAGTGAGATGATGGRTGTGTTTGGAAAAATGAATATCATCCTTTAAGGGCTGGAAACTGGTGTGTTCAGCATTGGGGTAAGATCCTTCACTGTAGCTACAAATGATATTTACCAAGAGAATCAAATGAATGCCTAATGTGCCTACTTCTTCATTATCACATGTTAAAGGTCCTGCAATACTGAAGCATCATGGAGGGTTAAAGCCACAYTAATTTCTGTGTTTGCATAGCTAGGTGTTATTAATTTGCCAGAAATCCACAGGGGCAATTTTGCAAAGAGGTGCACAGGGATTTGGTGGAYAAGGACCAATTAATCATCAGGACTGCAGCCCCTGCCTGAGCAAGTGCTTTGGGAGGGTGACTCTCTGCTCCAGTTTGGGTAGGGCAGAGCTGTATTTGTGCCTTGCTCRGAGTAGCCACATGAAGCCTGGTCACTGCAGAGGTGGGATGGGATTGCCAGCACACACAGGTGCTGTTTGTGGCTGCAGAAGAGTTGCAAAAGTTTGGGCCTCACCACTGTTATCAGAATGCAAATAAAGTATTTGACTACAGAGTCTGATTTTCAAGTTACTACTATGTTGGACCAAAGCAGCACAAAATCAAGAGAATTGTTGTATGTATTTCAGCACACACCTAATACAGTCAGGTATCTAGCAGCTTCTCTAAAATGGAATGTTTTGCTTTTGGTTTCTTTGCATTAAATGTCAAAACATTATAAGTTGAAAATCATTCAAGGTAAGGAAGAGGAAAATAAAAATTTTACATACCTCCGGAGCTTTAATGACTGTATCAATTGTCCGTGGAGATGTGGCAGCTGCCCTTACTATAARCTCGTGAGATGGATTTTTCTGATGCACTTCTGAGAAGCCCAACATGAGTGCTGCACCAGGAACATATTGCATGATTCTAGAGATAAACAAGATATGACAAACTCAGGTAACAACAGCAAAACATGGGATGGTGAGGACTACTAACAGATCTGAAAAATCAGTAACAAATGGAAGAAATGAAAGGTCAAGGAAATAATACTTTGGGTCAAATTAAATGGTTGATTTTATCCAGAAGAAATGCATTGGTTTTATCGTGCCAATTTAAAATGGTTATTTTTTGAGATTGAATAGAAGAACATTTTAAAACAAAAAGGCATTTTGAACAGAAATATAAATGAAATAATTTAATATGGAAAATGAAATCAAGCATACTAAGTTTTTAAGTTTTTGAGGGCTATCATTTAATATGAAAAATGTGGACAAAGTAGAGCGCATTCATAAAATACTTCTGCACCACTGAACTTGTGATTTCCATCCAAACAACTGCCCAGAACAGTATGTTTGGGTTGAAAAATTTCATCCAAATCTTTCAGTGTTTTTCAGAAGCCAAGTAGGGTAAAAAATTCAAAGAAAAACTCAGAAAAGAATGMATTACATACACTGTGCTTGTCTTTTTCATCCAGGATGGAATCTTTCCCCACTGCACCTTCAGCTGGGCAGCTGGCTTCTTTGCCAGTTGTCCTGTGCTAGCCACGGCTTCTATCTTGTAGTCCTGGCATTCCTTGCCCCATCTCAGTCTGGCCTTTATAAACAGGGAAACAGTCATCCAGGTTTCAGAAAAGAATCACAGAATGAACCTTGACCATTTCAAAATGCAAAATTTTCTTCCACCAATTTGCGCACTGATCCTTAATGTTTCCAACCTTTCTTTTGCYCTAAACAGGGAAATTTTGACTTCCTCATGCAAAATCGGGGGCATAKCAAGAAAAAAGTTTGCTGGTCTGTGTAGAGCAATCATATACATCTGCCTGTCTCAAAGCAGCCAATGAAGATTTCCTCAGATGTGGTAGTTTCATAGTCAACATGTATTTTTTCCTAGGAGAGGACTGMACTATAATTTCTATTGGCCTTCCCCAAGACTCCTGATTTGATCCCACCCCACTTTCTTCAATACTGGATATCATGCTGAATTTGTTAATTGCAGCTGCAAAAGGCAGAGGTTTGTAAATTGTTGCACAAAGATCTCTTGCTCTAAATGGTGCATGGAAAACGCAGGACAGGGATATGCAAAAAAGGGAAAGACCTGTTCCTACATTCATGATGCTCTCTCAGGCATCAACCCATTACCCAAAGTTTGCTTTTTCCATATTTTCATATAAATCCTAAGAAATACAATGCATTGTAAATGCATTTGAGTTTTGAGACTTTTGAAATAAAATGAACTTTTGAAAAGTTTTGAGAYTTTTGGAATAGTCTGACTTGGAAGGGACCCAGAAGGCTCATCCARCTCCATCCAGAAAGAGCTCAAGTGAATGGCCCATACAGGGATCAAATCCTGTGTCCTTGGTRTKGCTWACACCGTGTTCTAACCAACTGAGCTAATCTTGGGGACAATGAMATATACACAGAAAACCAGGCAGATTCCCAGACAAGAGAACTCACTGTGGAGCATATAATAAATACATATGAAGCAGTCAATTTTTAAAATATTTTTTATGCTTCCACTGGTTATATTTTGATTTATCTTCAAAATCAGTAATTTTTTACCAGATTTTGAAGTAAAAGTTTGAGTAATTTTTTTTTTTACCATTATCTATTTTTAATTCAAAAGAATMGTCAAAGATGGAAACGTTTTCTGAAACTTCACCAACTTTGTGAAACATTTCAAAATAATTATGCCTTTCCTGTWTAATACTCCTAATCAGCAGGTTCTCTGTGCTTACTCTGGGCTTTGTGATGTCTCTCTGRGTGAAGCTGTGCACTTACCTGTGCTTTCAGAGGCAGTATCACAGCATCAGCACACGCTTTCCAATTGGTTTCAGCCAGCTGAACCACAACTAGTTGCACATCAACTTTGGCAGCATCGGAACGAACATATGCTGTAGCTTGATAACCTTGATTTTTGTTGTCACTCCTTACTGCCTGAGCCACAATCGTAATGCCAGGTGGAATTAYGTCTCCCAGGAAGTTGCGCTGAAAAACAGCCCCCAACCATCTGTGCTTAAGGATTTCTGTGTATTCACTGGAGAGCCTGCAGTCCAGATAATGTGTGCTGGTAGCAGGCAGCAGCCCCTGTCCTTCAGCAGCTCAGTTGGCTGTGCATGTTTCTATATCCCCAATAGTTAAGGATAAATTTGGTTGGAAACTTAATTRTTCAAAGATGTGATTATTTTGATGAGGCACTGCTCCAAGCTATCTTTATGTGTATACTAGGATTTTGTTAATTATTCTGTTTCAAATAGGTGCCTACAATGTGTGCTAGAGTCATTCAGAGCAGCATATACACTCACAATTTATTTTACTGTGCTACAGTTTCTTCAAGCCAATCAAATATTTTGAAATCCTCCTTAGTAGCAGAATTCCCCCAGACATTGCCTGCATTTGCAGAGCTATTTGTTCTATTATTATGTAGATACCTTTATGCAGTCCAATTATAGAAAACTAAGTGCATAATAAAGGTACAGATGATCTTTGCTTAATGGGCCTTCACATTTACCAATCAGTAATGTCCATGGAAAGCCTGATTTTAGTTATATTCTGCATGCACTCGTGACCTYCAGTCTACATTTAAAAATAATTAGGCAGACTTATTTATTTCCTCCTCGTTTTTATCTAATGCAACTGATTTTGCATGCTGGGCTTTCACGGGAAAAAGAAAATTCTTTCCCTTTTAACTCACAGCTACATTCCCCTCAACTTTTATAATTTCCAAATCCAGGCTTTCACACACTACAAACGCCACCAGAAATGAAGAAAAAGAAACAGGCAACAAAAAGTCTGAACACTAGGGAATTTGAAAAAAAAAAGAGAGGGCTTTTTGGGGGTGGGGGGTGGAATATCTCMATGAAGTCTGAGTTTCAATTTACAGACTTGGGTTTTAGCGTCCATCCTGAACTGGTTAGTGCCACCACATGCACAATTCCTGCTCAGCAGCCAGCTAAGCCTGGAGACTCCTGKGTACCTCACTCCCAGCTGTACCTCACGTGTCATGCTGGAGCCGTGGCTGTGGTGGTGGACGCTGCCTCCTTTGCTCCTCCTCGAGTGGTGGGCAGAATTTTCTCCATGGTGATGGTGGCTGCTGCTGCTGCTGCTGCTGCTATTACTGTGGCTGCTTCCCGACTCAGAGGAAGAGGAGGATGAGCTGCTTGATCCTTTGTGATCTGGATGCTATGAAATAAAAACAGGTTAATAATCTATGAGATGGCCTCTAGTTTTACAGTGTAAATATCTAAATCAGTGTCCCTTTATAAGTAACAGACTTAGACGTATCTAGAGTGTTATTTTTTTTATATATAGAAATATGAAATATGTTAAGTTGGAATGTGCCTCGGATCCACCTTGACATCTCTGATGGAAGAAAGACTGCATAGACACTGATTGCAAAAGGCAACATCACACTGGTCAGGTCTGAGGGTAGGGAAAATGAAAAGTGGCATCTAATATGTGATCAAAAGTATCTATATCAAGAAAAAAAAAGTACATTTTTATGAAAAACACTATAAATCATCTTCCTCTTTCACAAGCAGGATATATAATAACTGTACAGWTAACAGCTACAAAAAGCCACTCCATTATCACCCTTCTAATATATGCTAAAAACACCTCTGTGCCATAATGTGTACTGAACTTGGTTTCTGAAAAAAATCCATGCAATGATTTTGCCATGATTGCCTAAAAACTGTGGACATAACTATTCCCACTGGAAGGTCCTGCTGTTTTACCATTCCCCCGTAGTCTTTGTTTACCCAGCTTTGGCTGCAACATATGTTTGTGTGTCCTAACCCAAATTTGAGGGTTGCAGGTGCTGCAACACCACAAGGATGTAGTGTAAAAGCATTTTAGTAATATATTTAATTTTTTGTTCATTGTCAATGCTGTTATTGGGCATTATGGTATGGTCAGGGGAAATGGCCCAAGAAAAGCCCTTCTGTAACAGGGTTTGATCATGTCAGCTGTAGCTACCATGGAATGTGCACTTGAATGAGGCACCTACCCAATGGACATGAGCAGACCTGAAGCGGAGMTTGTACAGTTTTGGAAGGCGAAATTCCTGCAAAATTGCAAAAGAAGTTATTACCCACAGCTCAGTCCAGATCACCTCCTGACAGAAGCCAAAGCATTAGATATTTTACCCATTCTGTAGAAATGTCGTGACTWCTGCCACTGCTCGCTTGGGACTTGATGTGTTTTGTCTCAGCCCATTTGTCAGATTTGCTGCGACGATGGGAAGCACCAATGCTTTCACTGCTGCTGCTCCTGCTACTGCTGCTACTGCTATTCTGTGTTTTAGGCTTCTGCTCGCGGGGACCTCTCTCCCCTTCAGCAGCACTGGCAAGTGGAAGTGAGGTGATCTTGGACTGCTTCTTGGCCTTATAATTTATACCAGATGCTTCACTGCTGCTGCTGCCTCTGGTACTGCCTTTGCTGCTGCTTCTGCTGCTGTCCTGGCTGCTGCTACTCCTGCTGCTCCTACTGCTGCTGCTGTTCCTGTCCTTGTTGCTACTACTCTTACTGCTGCTGCTGCTTCTGCTGTCCTTACTGCTGCTTCTGCTGCTGTCCTTGCTACTAATACTCTTACTGCTGCTGCTGCTGTCTTTGCTGCTGCTGCTGTCCTTGCTACTACTACGCTTACTGCTGCTGCTGCTTCTGCTGCTCCTACTGCTGCGGTCCTTACTGCTGCTTCTGCTACTGCTGTCCTTGCTACTACTGCTCTTACTACTGCTGCTGCTGTCCTTGCTGCTACTGCTACTCTTACTGTTGCTGTCCTTGCTACTACTACTCTTACTACTGCTGCTGCTGCTGTCCTTGCTGCTACTGCTACTCTTACTGCTGCTCTTGCTGCTGCTACTACTGCTCTTACTACTACTGCTGCTGCTCTTACTACTACTACTGCTTTTACTGCTACTACTGCTGCTCTTGCTGCTACTACTACCACTACTGCTACTACTGTCGCTACTACTGCTACTACTACTGCTTTTGCTGCTGCTACTACTACTGCTTTTGCTGCTGCTACTGCTATCACTACTGCTGCTACTGCTGCTGTCCCCAAAGGGGTAGAACTTCTTTCCTTTGGCCTTGGACTGCCCTGTTTTCAGATTTATCYGGGTGCCTCCCTGTGGTGCTCTGTCATCAGAGTCGCTGCTGGAGGGGCTGCTCGTTGTGCTCTCGGTGCTTKCACTGGCGCTGCTGGACGATGAGCTCCCGTGTTTTCCTGTCCCCTAATCAAGGGTAACATTGGAAAAACAAAATTATTTTTTCTGTGCACCTGCAGAATGACATAAGTAAAAACAGATGCAGAGACCTCTGAACCTCTGCTGCTTTAGAAGGCAAGGCATATGCCTGATAACACTCTTGCAACACATCACAATAATTCTAAGGCAATTTCATAATAATGTGTTAAACCCACACGTAAGCAGAACAATACCCCAAACACYTCTATGATATGGAGCATGTGCAGCAGTTGTTGACCACACAATCACATGTAACTATATCAAAAATGACAATGCTGCAGGGTCACTGTGCCAGGGCAGGTGCTGYAGTTGGTGTCAGACCATTTTGCTGCAGCAGCAGTAGCTGGAAAGAACTGATACTTTTTRGCCACAACACTATTTTCTTACAAGAGATTTTCAGAAAAGCATCCAAAACCAACCTGATCTTTCTAATGTCCTTCACTTGCAGAAAGGATGAATGCAAACAAAAGTCCTTCAGAGAGACTTGTGTACCTAAAAGGCTGTCTTTGTTTTTGATTTTTGCATAATATCTAAACAAAGGAAGCTACTTAGTAAAAGAAACATAAATAAGTTAGCTTTGTGTAATGTCTCCCACAAATTTAGAAGTGTCATTTCATAGCAGTACCTGATCACCAGTGTCACCAAGGATTTTCTTCACTTTTTTAATTGCTTCTTTTCTAGAAGATGCTTGTGKCTCTGGATCCTCAAATGTTACTAGACGTACCATTTTTGTAGGAGCTTGGTCTCCTCCTTGAATTGTGACTTGTATTTTTTCAATAGGTACCTCTGTGTAAACTGAAATTGCATGACAATTAGTATTATTGTTACTATTGGCAACTGAAWGGAAGAAGAAGTCAATTTTACCATAATTTATTTAGCCATTTTTTCTCAAATATAAATATTCAATGGTTATTATTGGTTTTGAGCAATTTTGTTAAAAAATTTCCCCCATAACTAAAACACATACTGGCAACCAAATATTAAAATATTACCATGACACAGGATTGTTGTCCACTCAATAAAGAGAAYGATCAACAGATTCAAATCCAATGAACTGGATTGCTTAATGAGATAAACTATGAGTTAGTGAATTGTGAATTAAACGTCARAGAGGAACTGAGGCTCAACTCTTGAACTCTAAAGAATTGCCCAATGGTTAGGCCATTAGTTGGATACTTAGGAGACCCAGATTCAGTGGCCCGCTGTGCTTTTATTTCTTATGATCGTGGATTAAGACATTAAGAACTAGATCCTGGCAGGGTTAATCCATAATTCCCTTTTAGAGCCTGGGTTTTAGAATGTAGCTACAGGACACTGCATCAGATCTGTTGCCCATGTCCAATTGCTTCGTGCTTGCATCCCAAATCCAATGATTCAGGATGCATCAGACACACTCTGCAGGCACACAGCAGCTCTGCTTGACGCTGGCCACGCTGAGTGACATTGCTGGGAGAGCTGGGAAATTGCTGCTCTGGTGACTGGGGCAGGAATGGATTCCTGCTGTGAGCGTGGTCTGCTGCCAATACTGCCAGGCCTGGTATTTCTAATGGCAGATTTAGTGGTACTTAAGGCATAACAAATATATATACATATACGTCTCTCTCTCTCTCTCTCTGCGTATACACACACCTCTACCCATCCACCCACTATTTTTTTTCTTTTTTTTTTGTGCACAGTTGTATTTACCTGGCTTCAAGCTCATTCTCAGGGCATGCTCTCCAACGAGGTAATAAAGAGGCACATTTTTGATAAATGCTGCGTGTACACTTTTCTTCTCAATGCACACTTCAACTCCAAAGGTACTTGCATTGTAGCACAYGGACTTAACAAATGGCTCTTTTTGGGAAGAAGAGTGTCCAGAAGAAAAGGGGTTTCCTGATGAAACATCCTCTGCTGACTGTCTATCCTATTGGATAGAACAYATTTTAAGTTTACTTCCACAACAGYGAGAGAAATACCTGTGTGTTATRCATCATATTTTGGTAATAGTTCCATGCACTCTGCAGGGGGAATTAACCAGGCTGTGACATAGGACAATTTGGTTTTAGATTGGATAAAATTATCATCTGAATGGGTCGATTAGACTACCTACTGTAAAAAGAGCTTCAGGCTATAAGAATAGAAAATTATATCACAAATGAATTCTAAATATTTAATTTTGTTTTCCTGGGATATTAGACAGTGTTAACAGGTTCTTGATAAAACTGAGTGTGCTTTAGACTGACTGGAGTTTTTTCCTTTGATTTTGATGTGTCAGACAACAGAACTTTCAACTAAGTCCACAAAATTCTGACTTAGATGKGGTCTGACATGAATGTGATACCCCATCAATTAAATGGTCAAAACATATCATACATTAGAAATTTCCACTAAAAACTATGTAATTTRCATGTACTAAGCAATGCTTGCAGAAGAACAAATTAAAATTAATTAAAACTGAAATCAGATCCATGAAATGAAAACTATGATTTCCTGAAGCAATGAAGCAAATACTTAAAGACACATAATCATAAGTTTTCATTTCATATGTAATTCAGATTTGCAATTAATTTTTTACGCAGTTTATCATGTTTCGCAAGATTCCAGCCTTGCCTGAACCCCACCAAAAAACCTGGAATTTCTGGTGATACTGGGAAATGCTTGACTTAGTGCCATTTTTCAGTTGCTCTTCATTTAAGAATAACTGTGGAGTGCTGAGTTTTCAGGAAGGGCAGCACAGAGGCACAAAGCAGAAGAAAGCTTGTTCCAGGATATTGGAAACTGCGCTCACTGACAGCACATTTGTCTACTGACTTCTCCATAGGAGAGCTGTACTTGTCCTCTGTTCATCTCTTATTTTGTGTGAAAACTCTTCAGAGTAGCAGGAGGACAATGAAACCAGAACAGGACAAGTGTTCCCCGCTTCTGTCAGTGTCTCAGTGAATGAATTGTCACAGTACTGCCCATCTCAGAAAGCCCAGCCTGAGTTTATGGAAACCAGCTCAGGAAGCCAAGACATGAACTGCCATCCATCCTTGGACTGGGATGCTTACAAGGGTTAAACTCAGCTCTAAAGTTGAGCAGTGGAACATCTTGTGGGATGTTTGACTACCCCAGGAATGTGATGCTTGCATAATGGTTGCAAAGTATTTTAAAGATTGTGGGCCTGTAGATGGCAGTGCAAAATTAATTACTAAAGGAAATGTTTTTGCTCTAGAAAAAGTGTTACAAGTCTGATGTATTACACTCCAGATTTTAAAATAACGTTACCATAGGGCTATTTGTGTTATTAGATTGAATCTGACTTATTTTGAGTGAGGCAGCATCGGTCACAGATGAATTGTACCTTTTCCTATAGAGAAAAGAAACCGTTCCCTACTGTTTAAAAGCCCCCAAAAGAATAGTCAGACACTACCTCATTTACCCTGATGTTATCAGTCTCGCCTGATGCAGAATCTGAATCGAAGGACATTTTCATTATGTTGGGCACTGCTTCAGGTGAGAGAACTGGAGTCATCTTACTAGCAGCCAAATCCCCAATATTTCGTGTAACAGCAAATGTCTTAGACCTGCAGAAGAAAAATCAGAGGAAACCTGTATTGATAAAGCCCTGCTGAGGAAAGGACCTGAATAATGCCTTGTGGCMCGCACTCAGCAACAAGTATCATACCCTGCAAATTGCTTTACAGATATTTACAGCATCCTTCCCGYTAGCTGTGTTTTCAAGGACTGCTAAGAGTAAATAAAGACAGACCAATCTCAGGGGCAGATAGCTCAGTTAGGCTTTTAGAATCATGTGTACAGGTTAAAACATTGCAGCTGGTTGTGTCTCCATATCCTGACTCCATGAAAAACAGCACTTTCTTAGAAGCCTGGCTGTGGATTGCATTATTTAATTTGAGAGTCTCCTATTTTGATCTTCTGGACTTTTAAATTTTTAAACTCATTTTCTCTGTGTTCACTGCACTAGCCTCAGTTCCAATTTCTTTTGACGTTATATTTGGAAAAATACTGCCGTAACTTCAAAAAAAACCAACCTGGGGACTGCTGGCTACCGAATGCTGTTACCTGTGCAATTTTTATGAAAGCAGAATTGAAGAAAGGAGCCTGAAATCGTGCAAGTGAGTGTCTCCAGCTTGATTTAAATTCAATAGCACTCATGGCTTGGCCATGGCATGGCAAGGCATCACGGAGAGGTGTGTAGGAAGGCTAAGAGCCTGTTTATGTAAATGTGCTCAGTWCTTTGTTTGCAGAGCTGTGAACTCTGAGTGGATTAGTCAGGATCCAGGATGAGTGATAGAAGGATGAGTCTGAGACTCCCACAGCAGARTGTCCTGAACCCCTGGCCTCATACCCCACATCCTTCATGGAATGTGTCACGGAGCTGTGAGCTACGAGCTTTGTTTTGGGTCAGAGAAACTTCTCGAATGCTGAGCACTTCTAAGAGAGGAAAACCTATTTCCCTCAGCTATTAGCACTGYGCTAAACCTGCTTTATTTTACAGCTGATTATCAGCGTTAACATCCAGCTCAAAATTCCCCACGTRCTCTTTCTCAAGGATGAAGCTGATCTCTTTGCCCTGGGGCTTTTGTGGTCTGCCAATGGAGGTGGCAGCTGTGACGGTGAATGGAAAGATGGTCTGAAAATGGTCTCTATTTTAATACGGTCCACACTGTACTAGCCKGAGCAATTCCAATCCAATCTATTTGAAAGATGAATTTGTATTCATTTGATAGCCCTCTCTTCCTCTTGAAGGCTCCTACCGTGCTGTGTGCAGTGTAAAGCACACAATTGCTCTTCATGTGGAACACCTCAATAAAACGTGTGTCACCTGTGGGCTTTGTTTTCTTTTCCATCTCTCTCTTTTTTTAGATAAGGACATGACAGCAACGCTCCACGCTGGGTGATAGGAGAACCTTGAAGAATGGAATCTGAAATAAAATATTCTCCCTAACAAGCTGAGGGGATAAAAGAAAATACAAATCAACTTGCATTTCAGATGGCTCATCTGGGTAAAGAGACAAAAAGGGAAATAGTTTTATTTTAATCCCATTCAATAATTCAAATGACCACTGAACTGCGGGCTGGATCTCCAAGCAGAAAGCCCTGGGGTTTCTTTTCCAATTTTTTTTTAGTATTTTTATGCCAATAGTCTACTCCTGCCACCTAATGAAAGCAGAGGATCGATTCCTCCCTGTTGAGCACAGAGAGCCGACAAATGTAGCTGCATCACAGGTGACACATGTCAATGTCTGCAGAATCACACGGCACAGTAAAAATAGGCTACAAGAGCCAGCTCTGGTGCTTTAACAAGAAAAAACAGTCACAAAGAAGGCCTAAAGCTATGCTATGAAAGAATCTCCTCTCTCTGATCCCACACAAGGGAGAAAAAATAAAAAGGAGATTTTCCAATATGTATTAGTGCATTTTTTGGATGAGAGAAGAAGCTGTGCTATAATATAAGCCAAACTCACTGCAGGGGTAAGGGACAAGCAACTCAGCTATGTTGGACCCACTGATGTTTCAGGGAGTGTGGCCTCACATACATCCCTAACATGGGAACAGAAGAGCTCAAATGTCTGTTTAAAACAAAAAACAATCAACAGAAACCTATTTTCCCAGGTTTTAAAGCACAATGTGACATCACACCCAAATAAATGAGAAGCAAGGGACAATCMGCCAGCCATATCTTGAGCTCTCTTTCTGCTGTGGTGAAACAAGTATTTCTGCCTTTYCTACTCATCTTCCTTCCAACTTTGGTGCAAAGTTATAAAAACAGAGGCTTGGAGCCTCACCTGTTTCCCTCTCCTGCCCCCCAAACACACCTCACTGCCTCACAAGAYCACAGCATACACTGCCTCTTCTGCATTTTCTCCTACACATGGTGTAGACATGTGTTGTAATTTCCCGGTTCATCTTATTTATGATGCCATATCATAATTTTCTGCTTATCCTACAGTTAAAACAAGCAAAAAACCATATGATACCAGCTCTATTCAASATTATGCATATCCTTCAGTAGCCTGTCATTATGAATATGTGGTATATTAGCWAAGTGCATTCTCTGGCAGCTCTCCATATTTATACTTTAATCACAGGGCTCTAATTTCCCCTGAAATTTATTTGATTTTTACTTCCTGTAAATTTTCTTTAAAAGTATGTTGAAGTAGCCATCTGCAGTATACTAAATAATTATGCTAAAGAGCCTTAAAAATAACCATTATTTTTAATTAAATTTAACTTTGATAGGATTGAATTGAAACACATGCTATATATTCTCTCCATACTACGATTAATTATTTTGCTGTGATTTTTGCTGTAGAGAGAGTTGAGCCCATAATGTGCTGATTTGTCTTGGGAATGCAATCTCTCTATCACCAAAGTTTTCTTTTTTTTTTTCTTTTTCTTTCGAGTCTGTGATTACCTACCTGAATTTCTCTTTGGCTCTTGAAAATTTATATAAATCCCACTGCTGTGACAGGTTATAACCTTCATGGTGTGTAGGATATAAATGAACTTAATGCTATTGAAWACTGTTTGCTTCCTGTGTCTGAATGTGAGAGATGATGGGGAAAATAATAWCACATCCTGCCTAGCTTTAATGACATGGGACTGTAGCAGGTAACCTGCTGACCATGAAGAGAGTGCCCAATACTAAAATGTTTTGAGCAGAGCTCACAAACACATGRAAGATCAATAGCTTTCTTGAACTATTTCTTTAAATGGGGAATTTAAAGCTAACAAGGGAAGGTATCACAATATCTCTGAAGTAYTGATGTCAATTTGATCTTTATTATTTGGTGGATCTATGCAAAAGGAAGAAATAGACTATGTTGAACTAAATTTTTTAACTCAGTCTATATAGCGTATATATCTATATTTATATTCATATCCTTTTTCTGTACCCTGCCTGCTTTTTCTTCACACCTTTAAGATTTTGCTTTGCTTGGTCTTTGACCTCCCCAGCGATGTGGTTCAGTGTTACATTCTCTAGTTATTGCTTTGCCTTCACTTGCACTCATTGCTGTTTCATTGCTCTGTGTGGTTTCCACTGGCCRTTTGTTTTGTAACAGTGAATGGGAATGCTTTTTGGAGAGAAATTGATGGTGCTAAAAGTCAGCTAGTGAGTATTAGCTTCCTCATATACTTGGCATTATGGAGCTGTTTCCAAGTGACTGCTTCACTTTATAAATGRTAATGCTGCAGGCTCTAGAGCAGGGCTTGTGCTGGAACTCATGGGCTTCTCAGCTGTAATACCTTGTTTCTGATACTACCTCGCCTTCTGCTTTATGGCAATGCCTTTAACCCTCTTTTGTGTCTCATTTGATCTCCCCTTAAGTCAAAGGAGGAAAATATTTTTTATTTATTTGCAGGGAGGATCCTTCTGCTAATATTTCTAGCTCTGCTTGAGGCTCTAAACTCCCTATCAGTACTCAATATTCTCATTTCAGTTCAGCAGGCTTATTGAGTTCATTAATATCTGCCTCACCCTCTCTAYCGTTTAGAACTAGTGAGAGTTATTGTCTCCTGTCCCTGATGACCTTAGGAGCAGTCTGTACTGGCCTCAACAAGAAACCAAACCAAAAAACTTTTCATCTCTGAAATACTGAGACCCTCCCTGCTCTGCCTTATTACAATCACACTTGATGGAGTGGAGGAATTGTCTCAKGGAGGAGGATGAGATGTCAAATGCATGTCAAATGGTCTGTGACTATTGAAAGGCAAGGGAAAATAATGATTAGCCTAACTGGTGGCTAAATTGAGGAGACCTGCAGAGCRTCTCTGGGCCAGCAGCCACGAATGCTAATTGCAGCTGGATCAAGCAACTGAGCTCTTTTGTTACGGCTGTATTCCTAGAGCAGAAACTTGTTAACATTTCAGTGGTTTGTATAATCGCCGATTTCTGTTGTCAGGGAAGCTTTTTTCCTCTGTGATGAATTTTCAGCTTGTCTCTCTCAGGTTTTTTTTCGTGTGTGCGCGTGTAAAGGTTTTCTAAGTTTGGTCTGCTGCTTTGATTCCTTGGACGTATTCTTTCTGTTTCCTCCCTTTCTTTGCACTTGTATTTCCATCTGTTTTTATTTGTYTGGCATCTAGCTACAACAGTTTTCCAGAGTGTATTGTAATTGCATGCACTGATAATAAATCAAGGAGACCTAACAGGTAAGAAAACAAAATGGCAGCCACAGGGGAACAAGGTAAAAACGTAAGAAACACCAAACCCTCTCTGCTTCAAGGCAACAAATGCAAATATATTGGATTAACTGTTCTAACTGACAGCATTCAGCTGGCTTGTATCTTACCTAGTGTTTCCTGTTCAGATATCAGATACTGATAYYCAGCATCAAGATAAAAATTTTAYATCATTTGTGTTTCAGATAGCTTAWGGATCTCAAARACTGAGATATAGTCCTAAGGAGGATTTTCAGGTGAAGACCACAGAAAGTAGCACACATTTTCAAGCAAAGCTTTAGTGCATATCACTTCATTTAAAACAAATATAAACTATACCAATCACCACCACTTATCCAAGCTGTAAGTCAAAAGACAAGATTCCTAAATGTATTTCAGTTTGTTTAGAAGACTCTGCTTTGCTATATAGAAAGATATTAAATTCTGTCTTACCTCATGCTAATTATGTTAGTCTCATCTTTACATGGTGGAATTTCAATTTTGATATTTTTTTCTCTCATCTGGATAGTGGCAACAACATTTGCAGGTATGTGAGCATTCATTTTGGTGCGTGCTTCCAGCCCTGCCTGGACGGTGTGCGTGTTGATTCCCATTACAAAGGTCATCTCCTTGGCCATGCTGAAAAGGTAGAATGAGGGTATCATTATGTTCATGTAGTAAACAGCTGTTGAATTTTTATGGCCTCTGCCGCTTGAAAATATTATTCTTTTATTTTATACTAAATGCTTACCTTACACTCATTTTGGATCTCAGCCTAATGTTGGCATTTAGTAAATCAGACAATCTGAAATCAGACTTTGGAGAAGGTGTAACCTGCGCTTGAACTATTACAAAGGAAGCAAAGAAAGTGTTAAAAATACCCTCCAGCCCCATCAAGTAYGTTTGCATYGCTCAAGCAATGAGATTTGTTACCRTTTCCTGCCAGTTTTGTGACAGAAGAGTAATAGAAGCTGGTCTCTGTTGGGAACCCCGTGCAGGTGGGCACAATGCGACGGATCTCCGAGGACAGGAGCGCCTTGGTCCACTGCCTCCCTACACCGCCCTGAAGGCTACTGATKATTCTCTTCAGTGAAGGGATTTTTTCATCAGATCCATACCATGCCTGCAATTACAGAGTTCAACATGTCTAAATAAGCAGAACTTGAATATCATGATCYGTGTCATTAACTATGCCTCAGGGGAGATTCTGCCAGCAACGATTATAACTAATCCTGATCAAAGCTTGACCTTATTTGCCTTGATTAATACTAGAGACAAAAAAACCAAACCATGAATTTAAAAAGGGAGAGAAGGTATGAAAGAAACAGTATTTTAGAGCTTTTGATGCTTGAGCAGTGGTGTTTTAAAAATAATACCTGCAGTGCAGTTTGGATGGCGTTTTTATCAAGTCCACCAAAAAACAGCTCTTGGCCAAACATCTTCAAGTAGCCTGATGCAAAAGGTTTGTCACTGGAGAAGGCCTTCCAGTCAGAGAGCTGTGTGAGGAGATGAAAAAAGCCTGATTCTTCACAACATTTGAGAAAGCAATATCAGAGATTTTYCTTTTCYCYCATGARTTTACCGTTTTYAGGATTTGCTTGAAGTTGTAGTCAGTCTCCCAGTCCCTGTCAGGAGAGTAACCTCTAGCAAACATCTCCTGCAGTCCTTCAACTGTTATTCCCACCTGTGGGAAGAAGTGCAAATGTCAGTTGGATGATGGTTGTAAGAAGAGATAAGAGGGCAAACTGTGGGTGCACTCAGTTACCTCCAAGGGATCAGCCACTCTTCCCAGGAAATGTGCCCGCAGCTGGGACATTGCCACGGTTGGAATTAAGCTGCCTGCATTATTCAATACCAAATATTTAGCTGCCAGCCCACTCATAAGGAACTCTGCAGAGAAACAGGCAGTGAGACACAACACAGTTAGTTTTTAGGTCAGAGTGTGCAGATTGTATCTATTTACTGATTTAATAATCAGCATCATATGGGCAAGGCCAGAAAACCCAGCTATAAAGCTGATGTTATAAAACAGTTATAAACAGAAAATTMTGCAATTTTAACTAATAGTGGGCAAAGCTACAAGCTCAGTGATCATTGCATGGTGGTTATGCCATTTTTTGCAGTTGCTGTATCATAGAATCATAGTATGGTTTGGGTTGAAAGGGGCCTCAAGGATCATCGAGTTCCAATCCCCTGCCATGGTCGGGGCACCCTACAATAGACCAGTTTGCTCAAAACCCCATCCTACCTGGCCTTGAACACTTCCAGAATTGCAGCATCCACAGCTTCTCTGGGCAACTTGTGCCAGTGTCTCATCACCTTCACAGTAAAGCATATCTTCCTAATATCTAATACCTAATTCTTCCTAATTTCAGTTTAGTCCATTCCCCCTTGTCCTGTCACTCCATGCCTTGGTGGAAAGTCCCTCTCCAGGTCCCTTGCATGTTCCCTTCAGGTGCTGGAAGGCTGCAATTAGGTCATCCTAAAGCCACCTCTTCTCCAGGCTGAACCATCCCAATTCCCTYAGCCTTTCCTCATGGCAGAGGTGCTCAATCCATCTGATCATCTTGCTGGTCCTCTTTAAGACTTGTTCCAACAGCTCCATGTCCCTCCTGTGCTCAGGGCCCAAAGTTGGGTGCTGCTCTCCAGATGGGGTCTCAGGAGAGCAGAGCAGAGATGCAGAATCCCCTCCCTCATCCTGCTGGTCAGGCTTCTTTAGCTGCTGCCCAGGACATGATGGGCCTCCAGGGCTGCAATGCCATGGCTGGCTCATGTCCAGGCTCTCCTGCAGCACCCTGAGTCCTTCTTGGCAGGGCTTTTTTTGATCTGTTCATGCCCAGTCTGGATTGACACAGAGAGCTGCCCCAATGCATGTGCAGCATCTTGCACTTGGTCTCGTTGAACCTCCTGAAATTCCTGTGGGTTCACCTCTCGGGCTTATCCAAGTATGGAAAATATGCCTGTCCCTAAATTTACAGCCCGTTACACTCTGTAACATCAGCTTATGAAATGCTTTTAGGAGACATCATTTAGGGCACCTTGACAAAGGAGAYGAGAAATGAAAACAGATTTGCCATCCTTTGCTAATAGTTTGGGGAAAGTGATACAGATGTCCTGTAAGGACAGATGGTGAGCTGTAGATTTGTCTCTCAAATGACTCAGAGGCAATTGAATACATCGAGTTCCAAATGCTGCAACCCTTACATGAAACACACCAATTGTTAAATTATTGCTAACTATYGAGTGAACTTTGAGCAAACAATTTGTTTCTATTTATTTCTCCACTTAGATTTATCATCTATAATGTTTTTAGGTGCAGATAATCAGTGCAGTCAGGAATCCTTCCTGGTTTTGGCACAGTTATATCCTGTCCTGTTTTATRAGTTAATCTCATGGCTTTTCTAAATTTCCTTTCATTTCAAGAGGCACAAGGCTGACAGAATATGTTGGCATCCTTGCWGTKCTTCCTTCTMGCCCTGCTCCCCTSTTCCTAMACCCTTTGGAGGACAGGCAAGTATKTATGAACTGTMYTTTTACTGCATTTCCTCTCTGSTTTTGCTGTATGAATCTAYTGTGCTATCCAAAAYGYTGGSCACTGTCTACCTACAACATGTGAGGTTCAGAAATTACTCTGAAACAGGTATTTATACCACCCCACTATTGTCAGAGGAAGAAGTGGAGAACATTCAGCAGATAGTAACAGGATCCCATAAAAATAAAAAAAAGCAAAAGTGATGCCACATTGGGTGAGTTGACAGGAAACTTGGAAATGTGAAAACTAGGTTTTCCTCATCATGAGCTTAGCCAGAATACTCCTAGGTGTTGCATGGACAAGACACTAAAACTGAGTCCCAGTACTTTCAGTAAATTWGTKKTTWGWATWCWAAMMACWAAASTATTAGTTAAAAACTCCACGGTACTTCCTGATAYTTAAGAAGTATTACTTATAATTGATTAAATGATTACAAGGAATTCTTTGACTTGGAGAGAGCAGGAATATTYTCCATACCTCAGGCATTACAGGGTGCTAATGCTCTAGGAATATATTTGCCACTTCACTGTGAGAGTGTGATGACACCTGCATACATCTGATTAAATGTCTTGCCCCAAAGATGAAGAAAAGAAAAATTAACGAGCAAAGAAAGCAGTCTTTGGTACATATAAACACAGTACCCATTTAATGATRTGAATCTGTGCATATTGAGAGTCAGATTCTCTCAGCCCTCACTGAGCAGAGCCTGGGTCACCCCTCTGATTTCAATAGCCATGTGTAGAGCATGAAGCACCACTTGCAGTGTGACAGATTCCAGATTAGACATAGATTCAGCTGACATTATTGCCTTTCATTAAAAATTCAGCATCTGACACCACAAAGATCTGTGATGCTGAGGGCAGATTTTTGTTTTTATCGAGGAAATAGGTACTGTATTACAGCCGTCACTATGGTAACTCCTCCAGAACGGACTCACTGAAACGCATTTTACCTGTGGCTAGTGGAGTCAAATCCAATCAGGAAGGTGGAGGATGGATCCTCCTCCCATACTACATAGGGTAATAGGATATTGACTTAATTAACTGAGTTACCCAGGTCTAAGATTAGTATGTGTGAGAAAAAGATCTTGTTTTCATCCTTCAAGATGAGACCCTACCTATCTGCAGTAGCCAAATTTCTGACAGTGGCCTTCACCAGGAAGTAACAGCAATTCTCTGTTGTAATGCATTTCCAGGCTACAGCCAGAATTAAGTATTCCATTTCACACAGCCCCCTGCCAGCATCCCTCATGCATATTGCGCCCCTTCTTTCGCACTGTGTGAAAATTTTGATAGCATAGTTTTAAAAGCAAAATTAAGAAGACAAAATGAGTGCCCAAACCAAGAAACACTTCTCTTCATATTAATGGAAAATGTATCTATCCTTGAATGCATTTTAAGTGGTACAAAAGTTCACAATGTGTATCTTAGTGATGGTATTTCTTTGAGCATTCACTGTCTCCATCACTGAAGCAGCAAGCACATGTACAGTACATTACTGTGATTCTTGCAGTATGTTATTATATTTATTTCTATTGCAGAGCACGTTAAATGGTTGCTTAGAACCCATGAAAGTGGGGCAGGACAATAATAAGATTTGCAAAAGCCCTTGAAACCACACCCTTCTCCAAAAAGRAGGCAGAAATACATATACACACAACTCTCTGGTTTTCAGATGTTTCTGAGTCTTCTAATATTGATTACTTTGAAAAGAATCTTTACATGTACCAGTGAATAACAAAAGTGCTAAAGACATCCAACTCCTGATAGATAAACAGCATGTGCAAGGAGGCTGTGTTTGGAGATATCATCTCTCCAGTCTGCCAGCTACATATGCCAAATCACTGAGGCTGTCATGGCCATTTACATGGGGAGTTGTTTAAAAAATCTACTGAGAAAAATAACACATGGAAAATGGCAAAAAGTACAATGTGGCCCAGCAAGAGCCTCTTTTTCTAATCAGGTCCTGCTTTCACTACATTTTCATAGGCAACTCCCTTTGCTGTAACTGTCTGGTCTCCAGATATTGTMCATGGATCTGCTCATTCTAGCAAAGAATCTTGGAAGGAAAATGCATGAAAAATCTTTAGACAATAAGCCAGAGAAAGTTGCTCATGGCTGCAGTGAGCTGGTCACATCAGAATGTTTTCAGAGTTTTCTGTTTCACTGGGCATCACTGTTTTCTGTTTCATTGGGGTAAGAGTATTTAGCATCCCATCTGAATGGAGTGGGAGCTGTAGGTGTTCAACACCTGTAGAAATTAATCCACTTCAGCAGTAATTTAGGTCCCTTCTGTTTGTTTGGTGCTGAACAATGGTACGAAATTGTTAAGCACCCCTGAGACTWCAGCATTAGATGCAGGAACACTTGCCTCCCCGACTAATGAAAACAGAGGGTTAGAGCCCCACAAGCCCTCTGGTAATTTCATGCTGGCAGTGTACAATGCAAAACATGCAGGGACCTAAACACTCTTCAAATGGAGGGCCTGAGGTTTTTTTTTTCACTGAAGATATGAAAATACAGAGGAACAACATGCAGCCTAACAGCTGGTTTGGGAGAATTGGGCTCTCATACTGTAAATTTTTTTTCTCACATTCACTAGTATATATTTCTCRACAAAATCTTCTGGATCTCACCTTTAAAGACACTGAAGCGGAAAACCTTGCTGAACTGATATCCAGATCTGTCAAATTTGGGACTCAATGCTCTGATAGCCATTCTGCAGGCAGAAGCCCTGAAAAAGTTGATGAGCACATTAATATTTCAATTAGTTTGCAACAGGTTTTTATTCTGGGRAAGGGATTTTCCTTACATGACTTGGAGATCTGGGGCTGTGCTTCTCCCCAGAGCCCTCAGGTGAGAGTAGATGAAACTTGCCACTTGCATGCTGGGCTCCTTCAGCACAGCATCAGCCARTGTCATCACTATTGGCACTCCTGGCTTGGTTTCAAGCAAAACCACTGCAGCTAACATTCTGATTCGAGGGTGAATTTTGTGATTCAGGAAAATCTCAAGGGTAATAGCCTGGACCTGAAAATAATAGATATATTCAGTTTAACTGTGTGTTTGAACATTTTGCTAATAACCACCCATCACCAGTGAATGATCTGTTTCATCATTAGCACAGTAAAAATTTKGATTATTTAATTATTATGGCAACACTGTTCTGGTTTCATAGACTGAGGGCTGGAAGGGGCATTATAATCATGTAGTTTGATGTCCTACACAATCAAARCTGAGGAACTTCCACATCAAGTCTTTTACCCCTTTTTGAACTATCCCACTCTAGGTAAAAGATCTCATGAATCCATTACATATCTGCAATTTCAGTGATCACTTATCCCTACTCATAAGGGTACAACTTATTTCTAATAATTTGATCTTCTGGGGGACCTTCTGCTAAAGAATAGAATAAAAACGAAACAAATATAACCCAACTTATTACCAGAAGTCTCTATGCCATATAGGCAGCTTAAACCAAAATTTTTTACAATAAATGTAATTTCCTCAGTACTACTTGTGATTGATGTGTTTAACCTCAATAATACTCACAACCAAGATTACTTTTGTACTGGAATCTTTGCAGTTTCCAGGGGTGCCACTGAAGCCTTTGGTCCTAACCCTAATCATTCACATCCTTTCAAATGGATGTGGAAGATGTGCCACTATTCTGGCRAATTCTCTGCACAGCCCTGTTCTGCCTGGGAGTGTGCATATCCATGAGCTGTAATAATCCAGAAAACTTCAGCAAACTTTGGGAAAACGCTAATTGGTTTCATTAATTTGAATGTGTTGAATATCAAATACCAATGTAAAAGAGGTGACCAAGATGCAGTAGAAGCTTTGTAAATGCAACCTTTTCAAATTAAACAATAAAAAAGACATGCCATAAATTAAATATGATTAATCCGAGTGTGGGSATGTAACTAGCTGTAAACCAGGCACTAGACTGTTTTTTGAACAAAGAAAAAAAGTGTTCACAATCATTAACWTGGTCCAGATCAATTTTCTCCAAAGAAAATGCATAGAAAATGAAACTGAGTGGTCTGGGGCAAGTGTGGAAAGCCAGGCCAAAGAGCAATCAGAGATTCAGTGTTGTTTTCAAACAACAAATTGACTTTTTTTCTTCCTCAGCAAATACCTTAACTYCTACCCTTGCAATTCTCTCACCTCCCTCCCCTGCATTTCCCCATCCAGCTCCTGCACTCTACTAAATTGTTTCTTTATTCTTTTTCTTGAAAGCATACGCTAGCAACTATTGTCTGTGGATCAATACATGCACTCAAATTGGGAGTCACATGCAAAAAATGAGTATAATGGAAACATTGATGCTGATTAATAGGTGAATAGTAAATGAAAGCTTTTATTTTACTTTTTTATATTAAGAATTTACTTATATAAAACAAAGAATTTCAACATCAGGAAAAAAAAAAATCTTGAAAACCTTGAAAATGTTTCCTTTTAAAAGGAGACTGCTTTAAAGTGAAAATGATTGTAAAGTAATGCCCGTGGTAGATGAGAGTGTGCTGGAGTAGCCATTGTATGAGATCTAATAATTATCTCAGTCAGGGACAAAACTCACATTTAGTAAATGCTCTGTTTATGACTTAAACCCGCACAATGTCTGTAAATTTGTAATTAGGATGCAAACCCCCAGTATCTGTTTACAATAAAATCTGGTCTTGAATTGCGATTAGATGTGACACTCAGTATTAAATGTCAATTCTCYGAAAACCTTGTTTTGTGGTTCTTTCACATACCAAAGGTGAAGTAGTACTAAACACATTTGGGTCAAYAATTTGTTTTCTGTCTAATGTCCTTGGAAGCTAAATGTTTGCAATGGAAATACTGATTTATCTTCAACAACAATGAATGTATTCTTTTAATGGGATATTTTTTTGTTGCTGTCTGAAATACTGGAGGTTAATGTCAAAAGATATAAGACACGCCAACTAAGGAAAGGCTAAGTAATTTTTTTTTTTAAATAATGCTATATTTGAAAAAAAGATCTGTTAATATAAACAGCCTTGTAAGTGCAAGTCACAAGGGCAAAGGAGGCAGATTTGTTTCCTTACCATTTTGGGGTCTTTTAGGCCTATGTTTTTCAGGGCCATCACAGCAGTCGAGTGGACCCTGAGTGGCAAATCCGAGGCAGCAGCTGCATATCCTGGCAGAAACTTCTTGATGTGCTTGATGCTGGCTGGATGTCCCACRTTCCCAAGGGCTTTCAAAGCCAGGCAAATTTCTTCTGTGCTAGACTTGCTCAGTGCCTCTGCTGCAAAGCCATGAAGAAGCTGAAAAACGAAAACAAATCTGTTGAGTTCAATTCCAGCTCTTATCTGTATTCCATCCATCAGGCTATTCTGGAGTTTGACTTCCATAATTTCAGTTTGTTCAATTTATTTATTTTAAATATTTTCAAATCCTTTTTTCTCCTCATGAATAGAACATTTTATTCATAGAACAGGTATATAGCCAAGAAAGCTGCGATGAAAACTTCTTCATCACTATACCTTGAAGTTATCAAATAAGATTTCTAAAGGAAAAAAGAATGATTTGGACCTTGCTTCCACTGTCTTTCAGGGTGAGTTGGGAACTCTGAAATAATGCTGCTTGAGCATCTCTGTCTCGTGGTTGAAGACAGGTGCAAAAACAAAGATACAGTTAAACCTTCAGACCCTTAAAAAAAGGTCCCAGAAAATAAATATGGCTATTGGTGGTGCCCTAAACCAGCCATGACAGACTCTTTTCAGTGTGGATTAATAGATGGAAAATGAGATCATTGCCAAAAATCAGGTCATTTTACAGCCTTTATTATAAAGCAACTAGATCACACTTCCATTAGCATAGCAAGATTAGAAGGAGTTGTCTGAAGGCTGAATAAGAGAATAGAACAAAATCCTAATAGATAACAGTTTAAAATGATAACAAATAGCTCTAAAAAAGAAACTGAGATGTTAGAGAATAATTTCAGTACAGATTCTGTGCTTTAAAATAACACATTTGGGATCTCTTGATGGTGCAGAAACAGCCTCCTTGATATTACTAATCAAATGAAGGGACATTTGAAATGCATTGAATAAGCCTATACAATCATTTGCTTTGGGAAAGAGTTTCCATTCTCTGACACAAGGCTTCTCAGAGTTAATTAGCCCAAGAGCATTGGTGGCAATTGTAGCACAGGAGATGTATGGAGGAATGTTGGCCATGTCTATGTATTACAGGAGAAAAAAAAAATCACTTCAGACACACAGTGCATTTGGAACAGCCTGCTCTCACTGGGGATGGTGGATTGACGGGTGCCAAAGACAGAAYGAACATATTTCTGTTTCTCTGCCTGTTATTGGCTGAGTGGTTGGCCTCTGTAAACCGTGACATGCATCCTCAGAACTGGGAGATGCTATTTAATGACTATTCAAATTGTTTTGAGTTCTGCTGATTAAAAGCAGYGTAGAACAGGGAGGGTATTACTGTCATAAAAACTTTAGAGCCTGAGTTGATGAYTGGGCTTTGCTTCTGGCTGAGATTTATGAATTCAGGCAAAAATCTGGGCTTTTGTGTCACTTAATTTATATGTATAGATAATCCCTATATTTAAAGTATCTTCAAGCAATGCCATGGGACTTCATTAATAATTAGCAATAAAGCAGTCAGAGATACTCAGATAGAAAGTGTTAYGAATTGTTTGCTTCTTCCTCTCACTCTCTTTCGTGTGCTAATCTAAAGATAAAAACGCTGCATTTAACCAACTGGGGCTCCTTTCCCCAAAGGAAACGCTGTAGTGGAGCGAAATACGGCTTTCTGAATAATGAAGAAAGAACTCAAGGCTTAATTTTTCTTTTAAATGATAAATAACAATGAGATTACCTGGAGACATTCTGAGCAGGAGTCTGAGGAGGAGCACTGCTTGTGGCACAGGGAYGCGTAGCTGAGGTGGCAAACCTTCCCAAGCACAGAGCTGGAGCGTGGGCAGTGCTTCTTCACAATGAGCTGGGGAGAAGAACTTGGCTCATTATTATTATTATTAATGAACAGAAACAGCACTGAAAAATACTTTTCTGCCCAATGAAAGACAAAACCAGACTTTTGATAATTTTTTTGTTGATGGATTTTCAGTTGATCAGTGGATAGCACTGCTAAAAAGTAATCYTAAGCAACATCTGGAAGGCAGATCTGGTGCTTTTATGGTGTTTCAGGTTTAAATTTGGCACAGGCTATAATCCAAAGGGGGAATATCACTCAGTTMTGGAATGGGAAAAGGTAAATTATTGAAGAAACATTCATCATGTTTTATGATTGCCTCAGTTACAAGTGCAACCAATTTGAGATTTGTTATGAATGGAGCTCAGTACCTTGGGCAGACAGGAATATTTTGTATAAATGTGGGAGCTGACAGGACATCAGCCCACTGCTTTGTCATGTGGGAAGCAGAGCATCACCACACAGTAACTGCCAGGCTGTCACAGCTTTCACTGAGGGTAAAACTCTAAAACCTCACTGAGGCTCATTGTGTCTATCTAGGGTAGGCAGAGATAAATCCTTGCTTCTGAGGCTGAGATTAAACCCTGCATGAACAGAAAATATTGCAAAGAGAATTACACTTTCTTCTATGTGGCCTTCACATTGACATAATTCCCTTGATTTTGATGGATCACAAATTCATACCCATCCTTCTAGGTCAATTAGGACAAATACATGGATACAACAAATATGTATTTCTTTCTCCTTGTCTTTGTAGACAGTCAGAGATCTAATCTGATGCAACTATAAAGCACATTTGGAAAATGCGAGACTAGAAACCACTGTTTGCAGCAATAACTTCTGTCCCTGAGGGGTATTTTACTCTTTATTTCCTGTTTCATTCCAGACTCTTTGCTCTTTTTGATTTGAATTCTCCTCCCCTTAAGACATCCAGGAAACAAAGCCCTTTCAACCTCRCTAGAGGATRCAAAATCTTTATATTTTYAAAGCCTTTACTAYCTCRTCAAAGGAATAAATACAACAGGTGKTAGAACCAGYAAAGAGTGATTTGGGAGTGCTTGGAACATCCTACCGTTGCCTCCTCCATCAGATCCCGGGTTGGAGTGCTGGAGTGCAGAGCCACGAGCACAGTTTGGGTCATTTCCCAGCTGCTGAGCTCCTGCCTGTCCATCTTGTGGCGCAGGAACCTGAGCGCACGGTGACTGGACGCTGCAGGGACGATATCCAAAATGTGGCGCCTGCAAGAGGAAAGGAAAGCAGCGTTTTCACATCTGCCTCTGAATACAGGCACTCCAGAGAGTCTCCAGCAGATGAAACAACACCTTTATTGCCTGTACCTGTACGCTGGTCTATTGGAGAATTGCTTCCACACCGACTCGTAGTTCTCCTCGTTTGCTGCACGGAAGAGGTGCAGGAGCTTGAGGGCTTTTGCTGGTGCATCACTGGGAAGCTGCTCAGAGCTGGACTCCACTAATTCTTGCAGGCTTTCCTCTATCTGCAGAAAGGTGAAAAGGCAGGAAGCTCACAGGCATTGTTTCCCACATGCACAGATTTTAATCTCCAACAAAGAATCCATCCAGGGGCTGAGCTTTACCTGGCTTTCCACATCTTTTATCTTGAATAAGTGGACAGGAAGCTGAAGCAATTCACTGCCAAACTGGTACTGAAGGGACCCACGATTCTGGTATTCCTTTGGTGGGACCTCTGCCCTCTGCTTCTGCACATCAATCAAAACAAGTTTCTGCCTGCAATGGAGAATCCCAGGAAGAACACATGACAAGATGCACGGTACAAACTGGAAAAAAAACCAAAAAAAACAACAAACCCACCCAGTAATTCTGCTTCCCCACATTGCAATGCAGCTACAAAAGGTTTTGTTATTGAAGGCAAAGATATTCACAAACAGATGCATTTGGACTCATGTCCAGAGCTGTACTCTGAGAAGGTTTGCACTTGCATAGCAGGGCTCAGATCAGAGCCAACCTTGGCCTTCCTTTGGGAATAATCTGGCATGAGAATTTACAAAAGAAGAGAGAGGTGAGAAGCTGTGGCCTGAAGAATATCATCGGGAGGATGAGCTGTGTCTTAAGGAGTAAATTATGGACTGTAGAAAACCACAGCTGGAAAACTTGTTCAGAAACTCTAATTAAATTTMAACCTTTTAAGAAGTTCATAAAAGCTGTTATGTGTCTGTGTCTCCTGGAAGCTTCAAATGGAATTGAAAGTTTTTAGATACAATAAGAAATGTTACAGTCTTTTTACTTGCACCATTACAATTCCCTCCCCATTTTGTTTGGAAAGCTGAATGTCCTGGGGACTACAAAAGCAGGTTCTCATGAAGCTTTAAATTGGATTTACCAAACAAAAAAGGACCACATAAATTCAGGATTAGTCTTTGGAAATGTACTCAACCTTTTGAAAACTTTTCAAGAAGCAACAAACAGTCATCATTTGTTGTTAAAAATAATTCCAAGGAGAGACTGTCTTTGTAAATATTTGCTATCTTTTTACATTTTCAGCTAAGGGGATGCAACCTATCCTAGCAATTATGTTTAAAATAGGTCATTTAGGACACTATAATAAAAAGTTAGGCATTTGTACTGAATAACTGAAAACATTCCAAAAGCAATATTGCTGTACAACAGAGTATCTCAAAAATCTCTGTAGAAAATTGGTGTGTTTGTTTTGGAACCTCTATGATCTTCTGTATCATTTCTATTCACTCCTTCCATATGGATTGCAGAGAACTGCTGCAGAAAAATAGCATATAACTGYTTTACAGACAAGCCACTGGAATTTGAATAGAAATCACTCCAGCATCAGCAGAGAYTTTTTCTCTCTTGAAATTTTATACAATATTATTGAAAGGACTTTTGGGTCAGAAAGTATAACATCAGGTGCACTTAGACAGATTTAACTCCCCATTCCAAATCACAGTGAATCTATTATGCTTTCATTTTCATTGTTTTAGGAAGAGATATATCTGCCTAGAATAGGTGGGAAAATGTTATRTTCTGAAGAGAAGAGCAAATGAATACTAAAGATAGGATTAAAATGGTTAAACAATAGTAAGACCTTGGCCTTGAAAGGTGCTGCAAGAGTCTGCTGAACAGGTCTGAAAACCCAGCTCCAGGTGCTGGATAGATTTTTTTTTTTTTTTTACCAGAGAATGCATTGCAGAAATAAATGCATGTTGCTTGAGTCAGATATTCACACCTTCCCAACTATCTTGTATTTATTCCCTTGTACTAGGTAATGCTAAAAACCCAGAGAAAATGGGAAAAGTAAAGGTACTATCCTTCTGGGTGCTGGAGAAGACCTTGCAGCAGACAATCTCTACAGGCTGCAGAAGGAGAGTGTAAAGCATCATAAACCCATTGTCTCCAGASTAATGCTGACTCACAGCAGCCTATAATTTGATTAAAGCACTGTAATTGTATCTGTCTATACCTTGATTGTGTAAGATAGTAAAGGCACTTTCACTGCTCTGTTTGGTTTTTTTTTTGGTTTGGTTATCCAAGTTGAACATGTTCTTATATAATGAAGTTAATCAGTGAGTTATTGACATGAACTTTCTGATGTTGCAGTTTCCAGAACTGTATGTTTTACCAACGAACCCTTGCAGAAGCTGATAGAACAATAAAGATGATAGCAGCTGTACAGTGGGATTGAAGAACACCTTCTGCACAGAGACTTTTATGCAAAAAATATCACCCTTCAGTAGGGCACTCCWATTTACAGAGTCTGTGATTAAATAGGTACCTGAATATTTTTTCAATAGATGAAAAAATTTCATATACTGAAAATTTGTGTGCTTGAGCTAGGAGTATAATTTCATTGACAACAGCTTTCTTGTTTTGCCCCAAATTTCTTTAAGAAATATGCAAAATTTGCTGTGAAAAAGCGAATGTATTTTACATGACTTGTGCCCAATTGTTTTGCAATAAAACCCAATTTCCTACCAAGAAACAGTTTTGATGGGAGATTTGCAAGCAGCCCATGGTATTTAGGAATCCAAAGTCCTATCTAGGTTTCTTGTGAACGAGTCTCCAAGGATCTCTTACTGCATTATTGTTTTCCAGGGAACTCTCTTTCCTGAGTAACTGTCTTTCAAAGTATTTTACTTCAAATATATTAGTTCACAATTTCTCAGATGGAATTACATTTGTTTTGGCTTTTGTGGCATAAATCAAATATCCCTGAGAAATAGAATAGTCAAGTYCTGCCAAGTTTAGCTAACAAAATTTGGATAGCGATGTGCATGTCTCAGATTTACAACTAACAATGAAGGTTGTTTTTATGAGCTGTTTGGGATTTTATGTAATTAAATACTGGCAAACAATAGGCTGTGGAAGTAAAGGATTTATTTCACCTATGGAGCTTCACTCAGATTACTGAGTTGCTGAATTAAAGGAATGTGAACAGTACCTGGCTTCTACGATGGCATTTCCTCCTGTTATCTCGTTGAAGGGTGCAAACTGGTGGATTTCCTCGACATCAGCTTGTGTAATTACAGCTTCACTACGTGTATATTTAATTTTGTAACTGTACGTAGCAGTTGCCTGGGAATTCTTGTTTCTCTTTATAAAACAAAAAAAGAGGAAAGAAACAAAGAAAATAAAAAGTCATTGAACTTTGAAGTTTTGTGACTAGAGGCTATTACATCACCCACTTCTACCCAYTTGTTTTCCAGAGCTGTTTTGTTCATTGGCCATAAGAGCAATCAATGTGAATTCTGGGCACTCACTTCCACGGGAGAGGTCAGGCACGCTGCCTGCCTCCATTACTTTTACTGCTAAGAAGTGTTAGCTGCTTTTTCCTTTTCCCAAATATAAGTAATTGGTCATTCCCTTGAGAAAGAGACACATTTTCTAAGGAGAGCAGCTGCATAAACCACACAATTTTTTTATTTCAAAGACAGGATTATAATAAAATRCAGCAGCACCTGTCTTGAATAGCAGAAAATGGACGTGGTGACAATTTTTTTTTTTACTCAGCAGAGGAGGTGAATTAACTCATGCTGATAATTAATGATTTCCAAGCCAGCTACTCTGAGCTAGCTCAAGTGTGCTTGCAGTACACAACAGTGTGCAGCAGACACCTCTGCTTCTCTGTGGGCTCCTTTTCATACAGAAAKAAAATATTGGCAACTGGATACAGCAGATCTGATTCTTCCCTCATTTTTAGAATTTAAAATGAAGAGTGTGGATACCAAAGGGTGCTCTGCATAAGAATATAGAATTCATGCACATAATACCACTCTTACCTGCTGGCAGGTCTTGCAGGGATGGGTGTATGCTGAACCTGTGACAATCTGAACTTTCTCTTCACAACTGTTTAGGTCCTTGGATTTGGTCACATAGACTAGGTTTGCTCTYTTGTTTTCCTGAACTGCATATGTTGTGTTACAAATGCCTCCAATCCCAGCCTGGCAAAAAAGAGAACAGAGAAATTTACTATTATGCAAAGCTTCACTTYATCACACAAAATTTCCTGTTTAATTCTGCATTTTCAAAATTGCCAATGGAAATGAATGCTTTTTTTTCCGTGATACTCTCCAGAAGCAAAAACAGGATGATCATTACTTTCATCTCTTTTTCACATGTAAAGGTTTTCWGTAAGCCAAATCAGACATGCACTGAGAGAACTAAAATTCCACAAAGTTTCCCTTGGAGCACCAGGAAAGGGGAGTAACAATTTTCAATTAGAGCTGTTGATTATGAAATGAATTGAGGAATATTATTAAAAAGTGTCAAAATATTTTGATCAGTCAGAATGAAATCTCAACAGGAAAGTATTYCAAGGTTGGAGATGACATTCTGCCCTCAAAACTTGCTTTTATAGAGAGCTCATGAATGCCTRTGAAACAGGCCTTGCAATATCAGGTGATCTGTCATAAAGTGAACAGCAATAATTAAAAAGAATTTCAGGATAACAGAGTTGTGAGTTTCCTTGAGTTGGCAGTTTTAGCTGTTCTCCTCAATAATATTTTTAGCACATACATTTATAAGAGCTTTTAAGTCTCTACAGTCAGTGAGATTTTCTAGAGGAAAAAATGTTTGATTGCATTTTAGGAAGAAGAGTTATTTTCATGATTTTTTTTTATTGTTATTGATAGCACAGACAGTGCAGAGAGCAGCTCTGGGCTATGTGAGAGCACTGAAATGGTCTCGTGGTGTTTAGGAAGCAAGACATACCCACTTCATCTTCAGCTTAACAAAACTCCTGGAGACACTGTGTCTTTGGTAAAGGCTAGAACTAGAAATTGCCCAAGCTTTCTGGAAGTCCTGTACTCTAAAAACACAAGTGTGGGGTTCTGCACACTGCAGGGTATGGCAGAGACATTCTGACTTTAGCTGGGAATGTCCAGAKAGTTCAGTGGGAGGAAGCAGACTCGTGCGTGGCTGAATTTTCTGTCTCTGTGCAGTTTATGGCCAGCTCAGATCCCCTTGCCCTGCACCCACAGGATGGGATGTTCACTTTCCCAGGTTAGGCCTTTAAACCTCTCTGCAGCTGAGATTTTAGGACTAATAATGCTTATCTTCCTTTGCAGAATGACTTGAGAATGTCAAGCAAGGGTGCCAAAATTCATTAATCTGCTGTTKTCAGAGAAAAGCAAAGAAAACTTGGAAATTACTCTAGGAGGTGAGGTCACATCTATTGCTTAGCAGTGAGAGTAGAACATATTGCTAACTGAATTAGAAAGAATTAAGATGTGAAACTAGATATGAGAAAATAGTGCTGCAGAATATCCAACAACAGGATTTTTGCATGCACCAAACAGTGTGAAAAATATTAAATCATATAGTTCCTTTCCCAGAAACAACTCTACTTACATAAAGATAAATTTAAAAAACATTAGAATTGCTCTGGTCTACATTTTCAATAAAAATAACATGAAAGTATAATAATTTCAAGGTTTTTGCTGATCTCGGAATTGAATGTAGTCTAATCAATGTAAATATGGTTTCACAAAAACTAAACACACTGCAATTTCTATGGTGAATAGTAATAACAGATGATTGACCTTGACTAATATATTAAAACTTGAAAAACAGTGGAAATTCCAACAGAGAATCAACTGCAACTGTCAAAGCTGTTACAGTAATGTTATGACATATATACTATTTTCTTCCTAAAAGAGGAGCTAGAAGAGATTAAAGTATATATGACTGGTAGAAAAAGTCAAATTACTGTTATTCTAACTTTAATATTAAACTGCATTGTTAAGCTTGTTTTACACAGTGTTTGCATTTAATGTAGGCTTCATCTTTCACAGCTTACTTTCTCTGGAATCACAAGCCAGATTTTCTAAGGGTTTAATTCTGCAAATGCATTTTCTGAAATACTTTAATCAACCAGTTTAACAATCTGCTCTTCTACAGTCCTGTGTAAGTACATCTCCATCAAATGCTGCCCCATATTAAACTTAATTATGATTTCCCAAGCTTAKGTTCTTATTGGAGAAATTTATGTCAAGGATGAATTCAGGAAATGCAATAGAAGAAGCTAAAGATTTATGTGTTTACAAAGCCACCACAATAACCAGCCCCWAACCTCACCTCCTGCAAACTGTATGAGTGCTGCATCTTCTTCATGCTCAGCTCCAGCACGTTCATGATCCCTCTGTAGATGTTCAGACCATCCTCMGAGATGGAATCTGGTGCCATAATGCTTCCAACGTGCCCATTGCTGTACTCAAACTTGACGGGGTGGCTGAGCTGCCCTGTCAGGACCTGGCTCAGTTTGAGGGACCGGGAGAAGGAGCTCGTGGGCCACACACCGTTGTACTCTGCGGCTTCGATTGAGTGGATCTAGAACACAGGGGGAAGAAAATTCCTCTTTCATTTTTTTTACTCCCAGTTAACTTTTTTTCAATACACATAAGCATCTAGGGCTTTAATCACATCAAAAACACACTTTTAAATAACACAAAACCTCGTCAAAGGGAAAACAGGGAAGCTGTCATTTAGCATAACTGGTGTCGATGCACATATTTCTGTGTRTAAATGGAAAGAGAACAGTGCAAATGTGGAGATCTCCACAGCCACTGCACTCYGCTCTGTTTCACAGACAATCCATATTGAAAAAGTTTGACTTGTACAAAGAAATGAGCTAGAGAAGAGCCACATGAAACAGGTTGCTACCTAAAAGTGGTGTGGAAGACCTGCAGGAAATTGCAGGAGAAAGTTAATGTTGCATAAAGCATCATTAACTCCTGTTGTGAACTCTGTCATTTCCCTCACTGGGGTCACAGAGCGCAGGCAGCAATCTGAAACTAATAAACACATGGCCTCTAGGCCAGCCAGACATGCAGAATTAGTTTGAGCAGTGGACAGCACATTACAGAAATTGTCCTTCCCTCCAAGTATTGCTGTGGCAGGGGCTCCAACCCCGCTCTGCATTTCACACTCCAGCCTCAACTTGGGGCACATTGAAACAAGTAGAAAGTTGTGCTAAACTATGCATAAMTTGAATAATTCCTACCCCATGGGAATGGGCATGTTTAGCTTAGTTTCTCGGAGGACCCTTCCCTTCYATATATTTTGACAATTTAAAGAGACTTTTCTCTGACACCTCAGGCTGGCGATGCGGTGCAAGACGGGGATTAATTTCTCAAAAAGCCACACAAACTAAATCCTCATACAGCAAATCGCTGGAGACTGCACTTTCATATTTATTTTTGTTATTGTTGGTGGGGATCACTGCCAACCCCGGTAACTGAAGCTTACGGGGAAGGCTGTTCCGGAGCAAATCCCTSATGCTGCCTCTTGGACATGCTTCTGGCATATTGCACACAGGCAGGTTTGGGACTGCTCTGCAGGGTCAGGGAGAGGTAGTTTTCCCCAGCCCTCAGGGCCCAGGCAGGACTTGGGCTGTCTGCTCGGTTTTGAACACAGCTGGCAATTCTTATTCGTAGGTTTGTGATGAAAAAATTGTCAGCTGGAAACTGCCCAGGGAACACAGCTTTTTGTTTGGGCTGAAYGTGAGCTAGAAGGCTGCAGATGAAAGTTTAATTCCCTGAACCATCCCTCCAAACTGTCTAATTTAAATATAACAGCAGCAAAATAAACTTTTCCCAGAGCAGAAGGGAATGAATATACTATTACCTTTAGCTTAGAACTTGCCCCAAAAGTTGCTATATAGTTTTTTCTTTTCTCTTTTCTTGCCTGAAATAATTTCTGAAATGGAAACTTTTCACAAAGGCAGTAGGGCCAGTAAAATTGTTAGGTGGTTTTAGAGGACAGGAGTCAATTTTTGGTGAAGGCTCACCCTGGCACCCCATGAGCTATTTAGGCAGGAACAAGGGAGGATCTGGGGTAAGGACAAGACTGCTTCTGCCTGTTTTCTGACAGGGAAGCCTTCTACTCATCACTGCAGATGTGTGCTTCTTATTTGTTCGAGTGGCTTTTTTTTTTGTTTGTTTTGTTTTTAGATCCATCCCCTTGTAAATGTTGCAGAAAAACAATATTTCCCATCTAGGTCTATTATAATTTGAACTTACAAAAATGCCCACTAACAGCRGGTTAATCCAGGCTGGAAGGCTACAACATTTACAAACATTTGTCAGACAGTCACCAGTCTTTTCAACCCRCAGTTTTCAATTTGCCAAATTAAAGCTTTTTAATAAAAGATCATTTTTCTTCCTTGTATGCAGAAGACTAAGCAGAGTTTGTGCAAAGCAATTGAGGTGTGCATTTCTATACACTCATTATAAGCAGGTATAGCCTCCTGTTAGAAGCAAAAGTGTTTTTCACATAATCAAAACTCTTGGTAATTACTCAGCATGCAGTAAAAATATACAATTGAGGATGACAAAGAATGTCACTCAGGACCCTTCAGAAAAGGAAGCTAGCAGATGACATTAATTATGCTAAATATTGAATCACATGAAACTACTGTTGCCTTTTGTCTGCTGCTTATGGAATCAGTTGATTAAATAATCCTAGGTTGTACAGTTTGGAACAATTGGATTGATCCAGTAATAAATTATTGCGCATTTCAAATTACATTCCATTGTCTCCCTGACCACAAAGCAGAAGAAATCCTTCAAGCCCAAGGCTGACTTGAGCTGAGAATTACCTGGCAAAGTGCAAATAGAATTTAGGGCGCTGTATAAAAAAATAACAATGTTACTTACATTATCCCTGAGCAAGCACAACACACGATGAAAACTAATTACTTCACAAAAGCTTAGACAAGAAGGTAAGTATGATGAGAATTTTACCTTTCAAATTGAATACATTTTCTTACCCTAATAAGACAAAGTTTTGGCCCAATACCACTAATTTCCACTTTACTTTTTATTCTTATTCCAGCTCGTGCAAGTCCTTTCTCTGGAAGTCCACTGAGAAGTGTGGTTTCATAATTAAATGTATAAACCTTGTTTTCACCAAACTCAGGTTCTGCAAAGAAATGGTTCCCAAAGAATGTTATTCAGAATGTACAGAACATATTAAAGTACCTGTATTTGAATGTATGGAACAAAAAAAAGATGAATTTGTTCACTTTTGCATTGCACCTGAACAAAATTAGCATTGTAAAGCTATATTAAACATTGACATACTTTTCAGATCCTATTTTTAATTTCACTCATAATTATATTAGTTGATAGGAAAATTACTTACGGTAATTAAGATGCTGACTCCCTGAAAGAGAAGAAAAAATAGAGGAATGAAATGACAAAGAAAAGAAAAACCCCACAAAATGTTAATGTATTGTAGCACAAAAGGCTATGTCTCATCTTGTACATATAGCAGAACCCTTTCTAATTAACTTTACTTCTATTTCAGTGACAGCCAAATACCTTTTTTCCCACCTAAACAAGAAAACAAGCAATAAAATATTTTTCCTACAACATGTTAAAGTTCTTGTCAGTGAATGAACTATCTTTAAATTCYRAAACCTTTCCCTRAATATACAATTTTAAATTCATCAAAGCAGAAAAGCTAGATACTTACCCACCAGGGTTAAAACCAGGGCTAATATCAAGCCCCTCATGATGGGGATAAAGTAAAGGTGAAKGAGATGGGTTTCTCTTTTATAAAGGCATGTGATGTCACATGTTTCTTTTGGCATGCTACTTTGACAAATAAGTGTATTCTAGAATGCATATTGATTAATCAGAAAATAAACATTTCTGAGGTCATGAATGCTGACAACTTCAAATCACCTCATGATTTCAAGCACCTTWCTTGCTGTGTAGTTCACCATGTGTGTGAGCCCTGTGAAATTCAGCAGCACACCTTGACAGGTATGCTAAAAAAGAGATCTAATTTTCAAAATTAATGCTTGCTATTTTTTCCTCCATTTGTCTACATTTTATTTATATAGCAAAAACCCCCCTAAAATTAGAAGTCTTCAAATACAGTTTTTCCATCTTAACTGAAATAATTTAGCTTTTTTTCCAGTCCTGTGTTCCATCTCCTGATATTTTACTCTTCATAAGGGTCACTGCTTTGGAGACAAACCTTGCTCACATTGAAACTCTGCTTTTAGAGGAGAATTTGTGATTGATTTTATAGATTTAGGCTTGAGACACCTTACAGCTCATAGGAATGCAATGAGAAACTGCTTTTCCATGTCTATCTTTGCAAGCAGACCCTGTTACCCACACCTGGAGAGACAAAGCTTGTCAGTATGACCATCACATTAGCTTGTGGCTAATAATGAAAGTTTATCCTATGAAAACAGAAGGGAAATTAATCTCTTTGTTTATAAGAAGACTCTAATAAAAAGTGAGCTACATTTCCAGAAGGACCTCAGTGAGCTGGGAGCATTTGGAGCTTCTCAATGGGTTCTCACAGGGCTTTTGCTGCTGTCACTCTTGGGGAAATATATCCAGAATTTCCCACTGGCAGCAATAACATTTAGATCAATCCCTAGCAAAACTACGTCAGGAGGACGTTTGCTCCCTAACTTCAGCTATGCATACTTTTTGCAAGTGTTTAACATTTACTTTGAATTTAAGCTTGTCTTTTGGTCAAATAATAAATTAAATATCAGGTAAAAACCCACCTGCACACAAAGGTCACTGAGGGGGCAGGAAGGAGAGCTCAGGAATGTAAAACCGGTGTTTCCTTGAGGCTGGGAAAGGCGCAACTCACTTGCAAACACTGCACTAAGCCAGGCTGCCAGACTGTATCCTCCAGGGGAACGAGGATTTCTCCAATGGTGCTGTTCTTCAGGGAGGAGAAGGGACAAACCGAAGCCCAGCTCCTGAAGTCTTCACCTTCACACCTGAAAATACGTATACCACAGCCCCCATCAGAGTCCTTTAAATGATTGCCTCATTTACCTGATCAATTCCACCTGATTGAGGAATAATGAAGTTCATTATTTTGGAGCCAGGGCACCTGAGCTGGGGCCAGGGGTGCAGCTGCATGGTCCCTCTACTCCATCCTTGCTCCACCAGGAGTCAAATGAGGGCTCCTTTGCTTGGGCTCCTTCACTACTGTGACCTGAAATCATGAGGATTTTAATATTGCAGCTTTCCTTTATGAGGGGAATGATATAGAATTGGATGGGTAGTCAGACCTTCCCTGAAATTAAATCTGACTAGTAAAATGTTTAAATACATGGTAGACATATGAACCATTACAAGAGATTAATAATTGCTTTGTTGGTTCAGTGTGAGCTCGGGTAGTGAAAAATTAAGTGCACACAGATTTTCCTCCATGTTTTTCCCTTGGGTGCTAAGTTCTGTGAGCTGTGGCAAGATACACCGTGTTTGTGAGCCCTGTGAAATTCAGCAGCACACCTTGGCTCTGTCAGAAATTCCTTACAAACAGTCACACATTTTGCAGCCAGAAGTAAATGCACAGCAGCAAAGCAATACTGTAAGTGATAACATGCAAATCTCCTGCTCAGATCGCCCTGCTTTTATGACACTGCTCATCAAAGCCACAGCTTGACCTCTGCAGTAATATTGTGCTATCATATCGAGCTCAACTAGCTCAGTTCCACAGGACAGAATGTACAAGATAAAGTTTTYATTATATACAGAACTACATGGGAGAGAATATTTGTTTAAGCATTGTTATTACCAGCTCATTGAAATACCTTTTGAGGGACACATACATATTAAAAYAGAACGATAGCATTTTTCAAGTTTMGAAAAGATTTTATTATTAARGTGTAACATGAATAGATTTGTTCTAAATGAGTAGTGAAAAGACTGCATTTCTTTTTTTCTAATGAAGCACACTGAGTCCAAGCTTAAAATCAGCATGTGGATACCTGATTGCTAAAATAACAACGATAATAATTAAGATGGTGCAGGCTGCCATTTTCTCTTCACCTGCAGCATGTGCTCTCTCTTTTTAATAACTCCTCTCTACCCAGGCTTGCTTTCTTGGGGGAGAAGAGAAAGTGATCTACAACAAGGAATTGTTGTACCCATTATTACTTTAAAGGAGCTACCTAATAAATGCAGTAAGTGGAGAGGAGACACAGCTAGAGTTTGAGGGTCATAGCACTGGGCTCTAATCCTCTCTTCAAAGCAGACACATCATTCCAGCTAGTTCCGAGGGAATAAACAGCAGATCTGTCACTGGAAGGAAACGCATAAAAGGAGGAAAAGTAAGAGCCATACTATTTAAAGCAATACAATTTTTCTTAAACATTCAACAGGTGATGTTAGTGAGCAAGAAAACGCATGAAAAATAAAAGAAACCACAGTCAAACAGCCACTCCACAAACAACTTCCAAATGCCTAATTTGGTTGCAGAGGAAGGAAATTTAATGTGGGCATAGGCTTTATACAGAAYCTGCATAATTTCCTTTTTTTTTTCTTCTTTTAGGCATAACAATGAAGAAAAGGAATTGTTAAAAAGTAATGGAAACTATCTTAGGATTTTTTCTTTTAAAGGAAGAGAATATACGATGTTGAGTGTTACAGAGAATGTGATGGCTGTACAAGGAGTGCAGTAAGAGGAGGTAGACTGCTCTGAAATTACAGGGCACTTGCACCATAAATGAAACATGAATACAGCCTAATTAACCTGATTAGAGCTATTGTTTCTACACAGCAATTGTCTTTACAGAACACATTGTGCTTGAGTAACAGAGTCTTATTATCTGCTGCTGTAGTGGCACTGACACTCCTGGTTCTGCATTCACACTGCTGAATTATGGTGCAGCGTTCATTTCCCCTGCTAATGCAGGGCCTAAGGACAAAGCARGGCTTAGCCAAACAGCTCCCAAGCAGGCACAGCAGGTTAAAATASATATAATCCCTTGGCTAAGAGAAGAGATTTCTAGCCCTCAGTTTTCCTCATTTCAAAAGATTTTTAAAAGAAAGCTTCACACCTCTTTCGCATTTAACATTCACTCCTTGAATTTTTTGCTCCAAACATTCAGCATTTGCTAGTGTGGCATAGCCTCCAAGAAAATGTTTGATAATCTCTCCAGAGACRTTTTCTAATGAATAAGAATGTGTTCTAGGCTGGGCTAAATTGCCATGTGCTGATTCTAGTACATTAACAAAGGGATTTTTTACATTAGATTGCTTTAAAAGGTGCTATTTGAT